CTAGCCGATACGTCTGATAGCTAAAGCTTAGGAGTATGATAACTCATCGGTTAGAACTCTGATGAACATGATATAAAATATATTGGTTCATTGGAATTAAACTTATTAGCAATGATCTAATAGATCAGAACTAACTGAGACAATATAAGATTGAAGATAACAAGAAAATCCTATTTAGTCGATAGATCTATACAACACGATGGATATATCGAATCAATCTAAAATAGTAATGTGGTTAAAGAGATACTGACTTAGTCAGAATATCAAACGTAACCAAGAAAGTTCTAACTAGGCTGATACGAGTCTAAACAACAATACAATTAAAGATAGAATCGATATGACCTAACCGAGGAAGTTCTAGACATATTGATACAAGCGAAGTTTCCGAGCTTACTTCCTTATTGGAGATCGAACTTAACCGATGCAGCCCTACTCGAGAACAAGGCCCCGAACTTGATTTCTCGCTAGAGATTGAACATAACTGAATCAACCCTACTCGAAAACAAGAACCCATCGAAAGGTTGGAGAAGCGTCAAAATTTTATTGTATTCTACGTATGATGATCATAAAGATTATATACCCTCGGGTTTGTACAAGTCCATATTGGACACGAGGTAAGATTTTGTAATAAGAAAAGAAAAATAACTAAAATAACTAATCCTGCCTATTTAAAAGATATACTAAAAATATAAAACTGCATTGCCATGCTCTTCACGAATGCTCTTTGAATTCAGCCTTATCCATGTAAGTTTTCATCTACCAATCGGTTTATTTCTTTAACTAAATCCGCCAAAGAACCGTAGCAATTTTTTTTGTGTTAACAATATGCCTCGTAACCTGAAAGTTTTGTTAAATTTACTCGATCTTTTCAGTAATCCACTGGGGTTCTATCTAGTTTAAAACATGACGTACTTAGGGAAGGATTAATATAAGATGATGGCTAAGAAATATTACCCAGATAAGATAGTTTTTCTATGATGGTCTATTGGTCTTTTCATGCAGGTGTGAAACATGTAGCTGGAAATATGTTTGAGAGCATACCTAATGGAGATGCAATTTTCTTAAAGGTATGAAGAACAACATACAATGATCACTTCTCCTTAAATTCAATATTTAATTTTGAGCTAAGATAGCATGCTGGTTATAATTTTATGTTTAGTTATGTCGGTTTATTATATTGCAGACCATAAACAAATGTTTCTTTCATATATGTGTAGTCGATCCTCCACCTGCAGAACGACGAGGACTGCATCAAGATCCTCAAGAACTGCCACCAAGCTCTTTCGGACAATGGCAAGCTGATTGCTGTAGAGATTGTCCTCCCGGCGATCCCAGAGCCGGTCCCAACGGCACAATATCCATTTCAGATGGACATGATCATGCTCAATAATTTCCGGGGAGGAAAGGAGAGGACGGAGCTGGAGTTCACCAAGCTAGCGATGGACTCTAGTTTCAGTGGTACCTTGCGGACAACCTACATCTTCGCCAATTATTGGGCGCTGGAGTTTAACAAGTAGATCTCAAAACGCATGCCGAGTTCATGTTTACTATGTATTACAATGTGTGTATGGCTAACAGTTCCAATACCATGAAAACGGTTATGGATCAATAAATGATGTACTTCTTTATGTATAATAGACCTAATATATATATATATATATATATATATATATATATATATATATATATATATATATATAAGCTCTATTATACACCCCTCCCTTAGAATAACTATTCTACACCCCCTCCCATCCGTCCCCACCTCCCCTCCTTCCCGCGCCCCCTCCCTCTCTCCCATCGCTCCTCTCTCCCCCAGCGCTCCCTCGCTCCTCTCTCTCGCGCCCCCTCCCTCTCTCCCATTGCTCCTCTCTCCCCTAGCGCCCCTCTCCCATCGCTCCTCTCTCCCGCGCCCCCCTCCTTTTTTTTCTCTCTCCCTCCTTCTCTCTTTTTTAGAAAAATTAAAAATAAATTGGTGAATTCAAGACTTGAACCCATGATCTCATGGTTTATGCTAAGCACTTCTAACCAGATCACCATATGATGATTTGTGAGCAAATCAGTTATGTACCTATAACAATCATACCTTGCTACTATGATTCGGAAGTAACGTTATCCCAGAAGGGTAGTAACATCATATGTTACTATAAAAATGTATAGGTTGTTACTGTAAACTTTATAGGTTGTTACTGCTCTTTTGGCAGTAACAATATGACGAAATTTGTAGTAACAGAGAATATGCATAGTAACAGTGGCCATATAGTAGTAATGTTTTTTAGATCTAGAGTATTTTAAATCTCAATCTTTAGAGAGTACTAACGTACGCGTCATGTCTTATTTTTCTAACCCATTTGCATCATGGCGTTCGTAAAAAAAAAAATTCTTAACGAAACTAGAACCATCAAAACTATTTTTTTAACGTTGTTACTGCGAAAAGCAGAGGCGTTACTGCATATTGGCCATCGTGTTACTACGCTGTTCAGTGAGACGAGGACTAAAAAAGAGGTAAATCTCGATCTTTAGAAAGCAATATCTCTCACATCATATCTTGTATTTCCAATCCGTTTTCACCATGAAGTTCATAAAAAAACGCTTAACGAAACAAGATCCATCATGGCTACTTTTTGACGTTGTTACTGCGATAATGTTGTCTTGTTACTGCACGATGACCGTCCTGTTACTGCACGATTCCTACAAGACGAGAGCAGCAAAGTGGTGGGTAGGGGAGGGAGTGGTGGGCGGGTTTGACCGGCGGGAGGACGCTTTGACCGAGGTGGGAGGAGGGTTTTGGGCCCTAGGGAGGGTGGGGGAGGTGGGTTTGACCCATGAGAAGGGGGTGTAGAATAGTTATTCTAGTGGAGGGGTGTAAAATAGATTTTATATATATATATATATACACACACACAACACATACACACATACATACATACTTTACTTTAAAAAAAATATAGTGGTGGTGTTGAATCGGACCAAGGCAGACACGCGAAATATGGATCGTGGGATCACCAAATCCAACGTGTCAGATCGCGTCTCTTTTTCTCCACATCGAGCACCTCTTCCTCACTTCGCACACGGTTTCCCTCCCCCGGTTTTGCTAATTCGTACCGTGCGTTGGCTAATGAAGTCGCACATAATTTCCAACCAAACAGCAACATAATTTCCAAGCCAGCCGGCCAGGGAGCACACATGTGGTGCTGTCAGGCCTTACGGATCTGGCCAAAAATGGGAACGGAAAACTAAAACTCACAAATTAGTGTTGTATTTAGTACAGATCGTTTTATTTACGAGCACTATCCACTTTGCTCCCATTTTTAAAACTTTCAAACCAAATTTAAGACTATATTTTATTGAAAAAACTCTACCAAAAATTTGAAACATTCGACTCAACTCAAATTTGAAAACTTTCAAGTCCAACTTAAAACTTTTAATTTAAAATTTAAAAACTTTCAAGCCAAAATTTAAAAACATTCAAGTGAAAAATTGGAAACTTTCAAATTTGAAAATTTTCAACTCAAATTTAAAACTTTCGGCTCAAATTTTAAAAACTTTCAACTTAAATTATGAATACTTTCACGCATATTTGAATTTTTGAACTCAAAATTTTCAGCTTTGAAGTTATTCTTTAAAATTTTTGAATCGATTGTTTATTATTATTTTATTTATAAAAATATGCTTGACACCTTCATTAACGCTAAGTACATCATTAGACTAAAATAAAAAGAAAAATTATCAAGTACTTCCTTTGTTTCGTATTATAAGATTTTCTAACATTGTCCACATTCATATATATGTTAATGAATCTAGACATATATATATATGTCTAGATTCATTAACACATATATGAATGTGGACAATGCTAGAAAGACTTATAATATGAAACAGAGGAAGTAATTTTTTTATTTTTCTACTTAAATCTACAAATGGAACTTGTAGTTCAGGAAAGAGACAATGGAAACTCAGAAACGCAAGTGAGCAAAACGCAGAAAATTTTGGACATACGCGAAAAGTGAAGCTGAGGAATTGAAGTCGAGCCTCCTTCGGCATGCACGAGTTACTTGTCTGGCGCGTTAACATGAACTAGGAGCCCCCGGTTTCCCCTCTTTCTCACTCACTATTCCCCTCGCTTTGGTGCTACCCCCGCCTTCCATCGGCGCTCCATGCCACCGCAGCCCCATCGTGCCATCTACCACGCGTGCCCCGGATTTGCTCCGCTCTCTCGTCCGCCGTCACACCTGTTTGGCGGCCATCGCAAGACTCTAGGCGATGGCGGGAGGAGGCGAGCTTGGCAGCAGGTAGACGCGTTCCTCCACATGTCCGCTCCACTCTGTCCCCCTCGACCACCTCCACCGATGCCGTATGGCACATCGCCTCTCAGTTCTCTCCCCGATGGTTGTGAATTGATCATGGCCGGAGGCGACCAAGTCGGCGGCAAGGGGATCCCTCTATTTTACTAGTGCCACACCCGTCATTGTCCACGACCGCACCACGTCTCCGCTCTCGACGTCCACGCCTCCGTCCGTCTCAACCAATCGCTCCGTCGCAACGCCCTCCGCGGAGTAGGTTAATTAGTTGGGTTCTATCTATCAAGTAATTCGGAGGCGAAACTAGGTATTGGAGAAAGAGTATTGTTATACGTATGACCCAGTTGCATAACTCATATACAACTAGAGACATGCAACCATAGATCAATCAAAGAAGAACATGTTCATATGCACTGTAGCCATTTACAACCTTTTATCAAATTCAGTCGTATCTGAGTCGGACAGTTGGGTCATATACATAGCAATTTCCTTGGAGAAGAACCTAAGCGTGGGAAGGATAGCTTCAATATTTTCGTGGGCATGCTAAGTGAAAAGATTGCACGAATTTTTTTTTTTAAAAAAGATAAAACCACTTAATCCAATCCAATCCTCAGCCTAGACCAAACCGTCCTACCTTTGATGCATTTTTTTATAAATGCTAAACTATTTGTAATACTGTTCAATTTCTAGTGATACTTCATATTATTGAAGAAAAGTTTTTAATTTTCAGACCATTGAATGGTATAGTGTTAGCCATACACAATTACACATTGAAATACATACTCCTTCGTGAGCATTTGGCTGTACATATGGACAAGATATCTGAGCAAAATGATTGTCTACATACATAGCCAAAAGTTCAGTTAGTGATGAAGGGAGTAATACGAACTTGACATGATTTTCAAGAGCTACTTGCATAGTTCAATTGCCATAAAGTTGGCGAAAATGTAGGTTGTCCGGAAGGAACCACTGAAGCCAGAATCCATAGCTAGCTTCGCGTACTCCTGCTCTGTCCTTATCTTTCCTCCACGAAGATTGTTGAGCATCATAACGTCCATCCGGAGTGGGTTTTGTGCTTCGGGTACCGGTTTTGGGGTTTCAGGGAGAACAATATCAACAACAATCACCTTCCCATTGTCTGAGAGAGCATAGTGGCAGTTCTTGAGAATCTTGATGCACTCCTCATCGTTTCGTAGGAGCATCGACTGCACATTTATTCAAGCAACATTAGTTTATGGTTTGTAAAATATGATAAATTTACAAACAATTCCTTTCATGGCTATTTATTGACCTATTCTAGTTTAACCAAATGAAATAATTAACTTTCACATACTGAATCTCTAAAATGTGAAACTTAATTAGTTTATTTAATTAATGAAGAGTGGGCCAACAACTTCCTGTCGATCCGCTTGTGCTGCCCCAAGTTTTGAGTCGCTACATTTTCGTATGATAATGGAGCATTGGTTTGCAGATCTTGAGTCAGTACATATAGATGTTTATAAAGGTAAGACAATAGGAGTTATTCTAGCGAGAACTTTGTTTAAAATTTATGCAGTGGCATGCAGTTGTTATATGTAGTTCATCGTACCTTCAAGAAAATTGCATCTCCTTTAGGTACGCTCTCAAACATATTTCCAGCTACATGATTCACACCTGCATATGAAAAGTCGAACACGGAAAACTAATTTATATACATATGTAGCGGATTGTGATCATCTGACGTGAAGTCAGAGAGACGTGGTGACTGACATGTGGGCCCTACCGCTCGTGAGCCCACCTATCAGTGACCACGTCATTGGGCAGTTCACGTCAGAGGAACCGCTTCCATATGTAGCACACTACCGTAAACATGCATATAAATGCTGGTTAGTAATTGGTATCGGTGCCGGTTCTGAACCAGGCACCAAACTTTCGGCAATGACCCCATCATCAGTACCGATTTCTGAACATGTACAGATGGGCCTTGGCACTTGATACTAATATTTCGCACTTGCTGTAGTGCTTATAGTCATATTTCTCGTCTACACGATATCATATTTTGAACTAGCAAGATCCATAGCAGATTGCTGAAGAGTGAACAAATCTCAATAATAGTAGGTTTTGAGGCATATGTTACGCTAAAAACGTCTTTTTTTATACTTTTTTACAAGAACACCATGTTTCCAACTTGGAAAATGTAAGGAAAGCCCCTACAGTAAATTTTATAAATTAAATAGGCTATATCGATCTTCTTCAAAAACACCATAAGAGCTCTATATACGGCGCTACAATAAAAAAATATAAATAACTACATTGTATTAAAAAAGAAAAAAAGATTATGCACAGAAGGGAAAATAAAAAAAAGAACTTCAGGGACGATTGTATAAAATTCTCCATGTTTCTGATTATATATAAAGAGGACTTTTACGGTACATTCTACTGCTAGTATATACTACCAGTATATTTAATTTAACGGTGTAAATTCATCTTATCTTCCTTCCAAATATCCTGCAGTATAAATTGTTTAGGGTATATCTATCTTTTTATCTATTTGCGTAATTGCGTGGGGGGTAATTTTGTAAATTCACGTTTCCTCAGTTGGTCAGATCCGATCGATAGCCGCCACCCAGTTGAAGCCTTTTTTTTCTCGATGCTGCGCGCATGGGCGACCGTCGCCGCTAATTTCTTCTGCGAGCTGCCGACGACCACAATCGGCGCCGCTGTTCTTTCTTATGTTCAATGAATTAAGGACTTGGTATGTGTTAGGAATTCAGAGACTTAGAAACTGATCGAACCAAGAATGTATGAGATAATCCACTTCATTGCTGTGAACATATCAAATCTATTTACACTATTATGTGGTTTTATCCCTAACCAGTTTTTTTTCCTAGTGTTCTTATGCAAATCATGCCCATTGCAAACTGAATCTACTAGATTAAATCCGACCGTCGAAGGAATCGCTACGCCTCCATTCGGGTGGTCGCCACGCCCGATGGGAGCGCTACAACGCCCGGACGACAAGATCCAGGAAGGAACTCCCGATTGAATTAAATCGCAAGAAATAAATCTCAATTTCAAATTACTAAACAGCCCTTTTCAGAGTTTTAACAAATACCAAATCTACCCTTTCACATACTGCTAATATATACTAGCAGTAGAATATACTGCAAAAGTCCCCTTGGATGCATTTGGTTGGTGGGAATATAGTAAGGAGGGAATGAGAGTTTGGGAGGTGTGATTGTTAAATCTCTTGTTTGATTGATGGATGTGGGTGTTTTAGGAGGGATTAGGAAGGCAATTTTAAGACTAAACCTTACATTATTACTTTGTTAAGTATGAGGAAATAAATCAAAACCTTACATTGTTACTTAGAATTCAATTTTCACATGAACTCCCCATAATCGTCATTTCTACTCCCAAACAAAGGACGGAGTAAACATAATTCTCATTTCCAATACTACACCAATTCCTTCTCTAAACTCTTAATCCCTTTCCTCCAAATTGCTAAACGAGCTATATGCATTGTGCCTATACCACATGTTTTCTTTATTTTCCTTGATAATTTAATTTGCAAGATACGGAGTACTAGTTAAAACAAATTAATACATGATATTTTAGTGGAGTACACAGTCAGTTAATTAGCTTCTTGCCAGAGACACTTGCCTGTGAGGCTAGACCTCTTGTATTAGACGTGTCTTAACGCACACAGCCACATTATTAACAATAGCATTATCTATGTTATTTTGAAAATTGTTCATGAGAACCAATATGGTTTCATCAAAAGAACAATCCAAGATTGTCTGGCCTGGTCTTTTTATTATATCCACCAATGTCAGCAATCTAAAAGAGAAATTGTACTTCTTAAGCGTGATTTTGAGATAACTTTTGATACAATTGAACATTCTGCTTTGCTGGCCATTATAAGGAGCATGGGTTTTAATGATCAGTGGTTAGGTTGGATGAATCATTTTTTTTTATTTTGGGAGGCTCTTCTGTCATGCTTAATGGAGTGCTACGGAAGTCTTTCTGTTGTAAAAGGGGAGTGCGCCAAGGAGATGATCTCCTGCAGAGAGTGGTAAACAATGCATATTCGTTGGGGCTGCTTACTAAGCACATAAATGAGATGGATGGGAAAGGTTTTCCTATTATCCAATATGTTGATAATATGTTGATCCTTCTAAAATCCTCCCAATTTGTACTTTTCGGTTTCAAGGCTCTTCTGAACTCTTTTGCTCAATCCGCAGGCTTAAAGGTGAAATTATCATAAATCAAGCCTCTACCGTGTCAACTTGACTGATGAGAAGGTGGAATTGCTAGCTAGTTTGCTTGGTCGCACAGTTTGCACTATGTCTTTCACTTATCTGAGGTTACCCATGGATATCACAAGCTCAAAAGTGATAGATTTTGCTCCACTGGTGGATAGAGTTGAAAGGCGTTTGACAATAAGTTCTATTTTTCTACCTCAAGGAGGTAGATTAACTCTGATTAACTCGGTGCTTTCAACAATTCCTACGTAACATATGTGCTATCTAAAGTTGCCTATAACTGTGATCAAGGCTATTGGTACTGCAAGAAAGAATTTACTATGGAGGGGTAATAACGCTAATTCTACCAGAAAGTCACTTGATTCTTGGGAGCTAGTCTGTAGGCCAAAGGAGAAATGTAGGTTAGATATAATTAACGTGAGAATCCAAAACATTGCCTTGTTGATAGAGCACTTGGCCAAATTCTATAGGAGTGCAGACCTTTCATAGGTGTATCATATATGGAACTCTTATTATACTACAAAGCCACCCCATTTGGGAATGAACAAAAGCTCTTTCTGGTGGAAGGATGTTATATCCCTAGGTGATATCTTTAAAGGGATTGCACAGAGTACGGTGAGAACATGAACCTTAGTCTTTTTTTTGGGAGGATCTTTGGAATGAGAAACTTAGATGCAATAAATTTCCCATTCTCTATATTGTTGGCTCAGATAAGCTTGAGTTTGTCAAACAAATTTGTTCAAAGCCGTTGGAAGATGCTTTTCTTTTGCCACTGAATGCTGATACTTATGAGGAATTTCTAATTTTGCAGTCAGAGCTCGAACAAATTCACTTGCAAGCGGGATATGGTGATCATTGGAATTTCATCTGGAATGTTGATAAATTCTCGACTCAAAGACTTTACAAACTATTTTTTTTTCTTTCCTACAACCACCAAGGCCATTTGTTTGTATCTAGAAGACAAGATGCGTGATGAAAATAAAAGTATTTGCTTGGCTTTTATCGATGGACCGATTTAACACAAGAGATATGTTAGACCGCAGTCATTGTGCAAAAGAAGATGATGATAGTTTGGAGAGAAATGAAACTGCATCTTTTCTTTACCTGTCCATTCAGTTTGGAATGTTGGCAGCACTTGGGTATCAGTTGGAGCTCCAATCTCAACTTCTTCCAGATGATAGTTTTGGCAAATGTGTAGAATGAAGGACCCCCTTAAACAACTATTGTTTGTTTGGTTACAAACTTTGTAATATTCTTCAGATCTTTCTGTGTCCTCTTTGTATGATGTAAATATTTTTCTTTTATAAAAGCTATACTGTTGGGCAAAGCCTGACAATAATTTCCATCAAAAATAACATTATCTATGTGGGCCACATAGATATTAATTAACAAGCTGTGCTCATTTGAAATCTCAATTATAGTATTTTTATGATATCGAGTACACACTTGTATTATAGAAAGGAACCATGTATGTGTCACTCAATACATTTCATCTCACCAAATCACACAAATCTATCTAACCGTTAGATCTAAGTCGAATTGTTCAGATTTTACTTTGTTTCCTAGTTATCAACTTCTTCGTTCCATTCAATTCAAGTCCAAAGTAGCATTGCTCTGCCTCCAACCCCGTGCCCCACTACCCTCTGCCTCATCGGCTTTCCCTCTGGTGCTGGACTGCTGGTGAGATAGGCTAGACCACGCCACTTCCCCCCTCCCCTCAACCTTATTTCACCATGTGTCTTCATCTTCATTTCCTTAGCTCTGGTGACCCCACACTACTATCATCTTTCATCTCCATCGGTTCCTGCCACAATAACTATTACCACCTCTCATGGCCTCTTAGACAGTCCTATGACAAGCCTTTTGCCTACACCTGCCCACCATCCTCTTCTATACTAGCGGGAATGCGGTAACTTAGCCCCCAGGAGCATATATAAAAGTAGGGTAGCTAGGTCTACAGCCCTACATACTCATAACTCAGACGCAAATATCTATTTAAATTATAATTTATTTTTTAAAAAATAGAAGATAAAAGATAAACTTACGTAAATTATCTTAGTTTGTCCCTACTCTTGAGCAAATTCTGGCTCCACCAACACCATATTCTCACCGCTTTGCCACCGCCACTGGGGCGTACTGCACAGGGAACTCCTCCCATCTACCCTGCACCCATCCTACCATCGCCAACCAGAAGACCTAACCGCTCTAGAGCTCGTCTGAGTTTGTTAGAGTTCATTCCATGTTCGCCGGAACTGGAGAAGGAGGTCATGGAGCATGAGTCGTGAAGTGATTAGGAAAGTTAGAAATTTGAGTGATTTTGTCCCTGAAAAAGTGAAAACTGTCGAATAATATATATCGTTTTTGTTTTAGCAATAGATAGGTTATTGCCATACCCGGAAGAGATGGAGCCTGAGATATGACGTGGGGTAAGTCGAAGTTGACACCAGTAATGTGCTTATACCGGGAGATGATCATCTTCAGGGTGACGCCGGTGCCCCCGCCGACGTCGACGAGGACACTGATGCCATCAAACCCATGGAAGCGGTCTAGCAGCTTGTTCATCACCATCATGGACTGCTGCGACATGGCCTGGTTGAACAGCATATTGAACCGGTGGTTCGTCCCCATGTACTCAAACAATGGCATCCCGTGCGCCCTCTCGAACGCCGATGGCCCACCGCTGACGACCGCCGCCGCCATCTGATGCCTTCACATGAAAAAAACATGTAGTTAAATTCGGCATTATATGCGATGAATTTTTTTAAGTGGGAGTGTCAAAAGTTTTATGTATTTTTTAACCATTTAAATTTTAAATTTTATAAATAAACAACTTTGAACACGTCAGCTAATTGGCATCACTGCTAGAGAAAAGGTTTTTAACCCCTGTTCGTAATCCCCTGAGTCCCGGTTATGCAACCGGGAGTATGAATCCGTTGAAATAACCAAGATTAAAAATCTATTTTTGCAAACCGGGACTAAAAATAGAGCTAGGCTAGCTCCTGTTGGTAGTTGTTTTTTCTTTTTTTTTCATTGTTTCAACATTGAATATTGATTTCACTATATTCCTAAATCATCTCCAAATCGTGAAATCCCTAAATCGATCATCACAGAACAAAAGGATCATCTCCAAATCCTCAAATCACTAATTCTAAAAAAAAATACATCACAATTCTAAAAGAAATTACATCACAAGTTCTAAAAAAATCATCACAAATACATCACATATTCACACCACACACAATCAAATACATCACAGATTATACATCATAGATCCATGCAATGAATCACAAATCCTCAAATCGATTATCTCCAAATGCAATGAATCACAAATTCTTAAAAAAAAAACCAAAAACACCATCCGGCGATGCCGCAATCGCCTCCCGCTTCCCGTCTGGCAGAGGCGCCACCCGTCCCCCGCCGCCGCCTACCGCGCAGCCGCCTGCCGTGCCTCCCTCTGCCGTCCTACTCGCTCGCTCGCGCGCCCGATCTGCGTGCTCTTGAGGGGATAAGATCGAATAGAGAGAGGAAAGGAAGAGGATAAGAAAAGAGAGGAGGATAAGGGAAGAGGTAGTTGCTAGAGGATAAGTACGAGGGATTATATACTATGCGCCGATTTTTAGTGCCGGTTGGTGTTTCCAAACGGGAACAAAAAGAGTAGGGGGCGGACACTTTTTCGAACGGGGCTAAAAATGATCTTTAATTCTGGTTGGTATTATAAAATGGCTATGAGCTTTTCAACCGGAGCTAACGATGATTTTTAGTCCTGGTTTTTTAATAAACCAGGGCAATTATGGATTTTGACCGACCCGGTAATGATGGTTTCTTCGGTAGTGCATGGCATGAAAAAATTATCACGTCAGTTTAGATTTTGGAAGGGTTTGTTTTTTAAATTAAAAATTAATAAGGTTCAAAAGAAAGTAATAAAAATTCGCATACCAGGTGCTCAGATTGTCTTCGTCGACGTCGAGCATGAGCCTGGGTGCCAGAGACCCTTGGTGGTTGTCGCCGGCGGTGAACCACCTGCACACAGGCGCCGGCGAGTAGCGCCGGAGAGGATCACCGCCAGGCCCCGCCTCCGTCGAGCACCTGACGACGTTGAACGACGCCAGGAGCCGCAGCATCCGGTCCACCGAGGTCGCCGCCTCGGCATCGTCCACCGCCGGGAGCTGCGCAACCAGCTCGCCGGCGGTCAGCGCGCGGCCGTCGGCGGCGGCGGTAAGTGCGTCGATGAGTCCGAGCTGGATCGCCGCCTTCAGTGTCATGGAGACGGTGAAGCCCGAGATCAGCTCAAGCGCGTGCAACCATGCCGCCTCCTCGTCGTCGCCGCCGCCGGCGGTGACACCCGTGGCCGGAGTCCTGCTAATGCCCGAAGCCATGCGAGCTTGCCTTGTTTGGTCTACTTCTCTCTCACAATGATCAGTGTGTCTCAATTCTGAAACTAGTATATGGCGTGTTGGTGCACTACATGGCACTACTACATAATATATCATAGGTATCGGTTTGTAAGGATTTATAGGTAACCAATAGAAGATATTGACACCTATAAGAAAAATAGAACCGGTATTTTTAGATTCGTATAAGTCATTAAAAAGGAGAGCCAGCTCGAATTGAGCCGAACATACCAACCACGACACCGTCGTCGTCGTCCTGCTGTATCGGTCTTCATCCACCATCATCTCTGCCGATCCCACGGTCCCGCAGCCACCATGGGAGGGGGAGTGGATAGGGTTTGGAGGAGAGGGGCGGCCGAGATTTTTATGTGTGTGGCACTGGGCTTGGCTCGTGTACCCATTTTTTAAAAACCGGCACCTATAGTTTGTCATACGTGCCTTTTTTAAAAAAAAAGTGCTAATACTATATGTGTATGTTTTTATATAGAACCGGCACCTATCAAATAAGTATAAGATTTTTTTTAAGAAAAGGACACATATAGTAGAGGTGTCGGTTTTTATTTAAATTAGTGGTCCTATCAAGATGGAAAACAGTAATATGTGCTGGTTTTAAATAAACCGACACACATGTGACAACCCATGTGACAACCCATGTGACAGTACCTTACCACCTATGAGGTGCTTTAAAGTACTGGATATAATTTTTTTTATATAAAAACATAGTACAAACACAGGGATCTATAACAATGTGCATCTCATTTTATGAAACATATTTCGAGGTGCTAAGATCTGACAAAGCTTTGAGTTTTACAGTTTTACATTTTTCACGCATATACAGAAAACATATTTGCTCAGATAAAAAAAGATGGGTGACATGAGATTTTCAGGATGGCAGTACAAATCTTGAGCGCAGGGGTCGTTTTTTCACTTATTCTATTGTTTCTGTTAGCCGTAAAATTTCTCATGGTTATTATCAACTTATCTGCAACGTTATACTTTTTTCTGCATCTACCAAGCCACCAGACCAACAACATCAATCCCAAGCTCACAACAGTGAAATCAGTACACAACGTCAATCATATCACACAAGTGTCGTGTGGGTCCATTAAATAATTGATTCATTCAACAGAAACAAATTACTCTCTCCTCCGTCCCATAATATAAAAGATGTTCAGTTCAGTTTTTGTTTGCATTGTTTGACCACTAGTTTTATTCAAAAAAATTTGTGCAAATATAAAAAACGAAAAGTTATGCTTAAAGTACTTTGGATAATAAAGTAAGTCAAAAATAAATAAATAATAATTCCAAAAAAATTTTGAATAAGACGAGTGGTCAAACAGTGCATGCGCGCAAAAACTCAAAATCCCTTATATTATGGGACGGAGGGAGTAATAATCTGGTGCGCAATTACTAGCATGTGGAGTTGCGTGTTCACGAGACCATGATCTTCCTCTCTGATAAATGTATTAAATTTGTTTGTACTGATTAGCTTAAATCTGTATCAACAAAGAGAGAATTTAAAGGAATTGCAACTTTTTTTTATTGACCAAACAATCAAATAACTGCAATATTAGCAAGCAAAATTACCTAGCTACAACTTTACTATGTACATGTAGCCTTAGTGAAAATTTCACTAAAGGATCATTTATTAAAATAAGTTGGACTAAAGGTATGAGCTGTAAAATTGGTCACTTATTTCTCTATTGCTTTACACACCTTTCTCTTCCTAGAGTGTTCGCAATTATTTGCAACATATGAAGTTAATTGCAATAAAGAGAAAACATTTCCAAATTTTGTATACTTCTAGAAAGTGCACGCCATTTGAACAGATATATAATTTCAAGTATACAATGTTAATACTCTATACCATGTTAGATTAATGGGCTAGGCCCAATTAAATCCTAATAAATTCCATTGGCCCACATTAAGTGCTATGGGTAATAATACCACATTGGAAATCTAAGTGAAGATGTCTCAACTTAAATACGGAGCTAGTGGACAGTCTCTGTTGATTGGTTGAGATGGTGCGCGGACAGCCAGGCGAGGCGAGGCAAGGCAGGCATCTGCTGCTGTTCTCTCTCTCTCGTTTTGTTTAACGGATGGTAATAAATACGGAGAATTGATTTCGTATTAACGAGCCCGTCGGTTACGGAAGGTGTACGAGACGAGCAGGTGCCTCCAGAACTCCGTCCACTTGACAACCTGCATGGGTAGGCGGGCGATCAAGTTTTTGGGTAGCGCTTCAAGCGTGACTGCTCCTGTTCTTTGTTCTTCGACGTTAATGTTGCATCTTCCTCTACTTCTGTTTCACCATGGCTTCTACTGGAGAGAACGGAGGAGACAACATCAACGGAGGCAATACGAGTGCCTCAACATCTTCTGCACCATTATCTGGGTATAAGATTCTAACTTTATTTGATTTTCTTTTTGTTATTTACATGTTCACAATGTTATCCATAGGATTTCAATCCTATGTGAATGTCAACGATGTCTATGCTTATTTTACTTTAAGCATGCTCATGTTTATATTTAGCCTTATCACTAGATCGCTTCTCATTGTGTATGTCATGTTTATTGTCTTAATATTTTAGATTAAAATATGCCGAATTATGACCAAATTTCCAACATACTGCACACAGATGGGTACAATTATAAATAACATAGTAGTACTATTTACACAGTCATTTTGCATGTAGAAAAAATAGCAGCATAGGTTATGAAATGGGCAGGTAAGGGTAGAGCAGACAAATCATTTGTCTAGAGTTTTTTTTTCTTTTGTTATGGTTTGGAATACACAGTAAACATATTCAGCTCATCATTACATCAACTCTTCCCCCTTATTCACAAAAAAATGCACGCAATAGGCACTGCTATTATGCTTTGATAAGCAGAGTGTCAGTTGGCACCTTGCATATATGAATAGCTTATTGTCACAAATACAACACATCTGAACCATGCTACAGCATTCAGGTCAGGAAGACTTCAAATAAATTTCTTAAACATTATATGATATCACATGACTGAATTTACTGCTTCTCATTGGTGGTGGGAAAGCATATGGATAACAAAAGCAGGCTAAGTTGGTAATGATAGAAAATCAACAGGTGAAAGCTTGACCAGTTTGTTCAGAATTTTTCACCTTCCGCGGATTCTTCTCTGAGAGAATACAAACATAATAGTCAAGCCAAAAAGATCTTAAAAAGAATCATCATGACTGAGAATCGTAAGATATTAGCATGGATACCGAAGTAGTAGTAGTGGAAAACATTTTCAGAGCTACAACAATCAAAGAGAAGATTACCTTCTTAATCAAGAGGTTGACTGCTCTTTTTATTAGCTCAATGGCATGGCTTTGGTTCAAAATCACACTAAAATGAAATTTGCATATGTATTCCTGTAGGAAATGATGGACTCCAGCAGACAATGAAAAACAATTTTTTTTTTTGCGGGGGACAATGAAAAACAATATGATATATCTGAAGGTCACCTTGAACCACATGGAAAGATGGAGCCATAACAATGGCCCAGAACCTGATTTAAGGTAACCAAGGTTTTAAAAATATGAATAGTGTTGACAGAATGATGAGTTACATACAAAAATGTTAAAGATCATGGCTTAATTAGTTTAAACTCTGTATTTGCTTAGCTTTGTAATTTCTGGAAATTCCCCTCAATGAACTTGGATATACTCACAACTATTCTTGCAAGCAATTAAGGATGATTCCACAGTTAATATTTTGTATAAAATATGTTTCGGAACAATTTGGCCCATATCAAAACCTCATGAGAGTTGACGTCCTTGTGCAGGAAAACGTTCGCCTTTGCCAAATTGCAGAAGTTGTATTAGCATCTTCAGCTGCAACATACTCTCTTACTGTCCCAAATGCACCTGGGTTTCAGATATATATTTCTTTAAGCCCCATACGCATATATAGTTCACCTGTTATTAATCATAAAAATTGAATCCTACATAAAAAAAACTACAGGAACTTGAGGAATCAATAACAAATTAAATCTACTATTTATTTAGATTATCATCTCTTATATGAAGACCATTGTGTTACACTGAATATTGAATATTTGTTCTAGAAAGAAACTAAGGCCCTCTTTGTTTAGGCTTATAAGTCAACTTATAAGCCAAAAAGTTTAAGCCTAAACAAATAAGTAGTTTTTTCGTTTGGCTTTTTTAAGCCATAAGCCACTCTACTATTAAGCCAAAAAGTTAGGTTGGAGAAGTTATTTTGGTTTATATGAGCTAGATGTATGACTCCCCTACTAAACATAGGACATTAAATCCATTGGTTTATAAATTATATAAGCCAATAAGTTAACTTAAAAGTCTAAGCCAATAAATCTAAGCCTAAACAAAGAGGGTCTAGGTATGAATGTTAAATGGTAATCAGCAGAAACATAGCAGAAGCAACGTATGCAAAATGAAGACCGGTAGAAATTTCTTGGTTTGTTGCTTCTCCCTACCAGCAGCGATGGCTGATCATGGCTCACTGTTGTCGGTAGAGGCGATTGTGTCGCCAGGTTTACACCTCTGCCTACCTCGCTCCGGATCCGAGCTGTTCAATGGATCTGATGTACCGGTTCCGGTAGGATTGTGCCGCCGCATGGAGACGATGAGACGGCGATGGCATGGCGGGGATGGGGAGGACATGGCAATATAGAAATGGGTTAATTGAATCGATACCATTAAAACATTATTGATTTTGAAAAGTATCACTAGTATTTGCGTATATGTAACCACAACATTATAATTTTACATCTATTTGAAGAAATACGCCACTACCAGCCCTTTGAGTGCATTTATCAGTACATTCAGACCAAATTATCCTTATTCGCAATGGATAGAATCCTATATACCTATACAAATCATCCCCACTACTGGAATTCTCTGTTTCCTGGTGCTTCCATGTCACGCCCGGAAGTTTCCCCTTTTGCTTGCTTTAAAAAAAATGGTTAAATAAATTGTCCGAAGAAATTATCTTAATTAACCTAGAGCTAATTCCATAATTAATAAATGCAAATAATAATCGGAATCGGCATGTGGAATTTTTCTTGGATTCTACATGTCAAAATATGTTAACAGGATTTTTAGTGGAATTTTCAGAGCCTTGGAAATAATTTTAACCAATTAAAAATCACCAAAGTGCAATTTTTAATCCCAGGAAAAATCCTTTCTTCCTTTTCTTTTTCTTTTCCTTCTTTTTTTTTTTTCTCTATTGGGCCGTCGGCCCACTCCCTCCCGCGCTCGGCCTCCTTCGCTTGGGCCGGCCCGTTCCCCTTCTTCCTCCTCCAGCCGACGGCACCGCCGCCGCCGAAACCGCCACCGACGCCGCCGGTTTCCCCGTTTCCCGCGCCCACTCCGCCCGTACCGCACGCCCACGTCGCCGCCCACCTTCCCCGCACCTCCTTCCACTCGCGCGTGCACCCCGCAACGGAGGGATTCGAATTCGAATCTCTCTCTCTCTCTCTCTCTCTCCATCCCCCACGTCGGCGAGAAATCCGGCCGCTTCCCGGCTCGTCCGCCCCTCCCGAGCCCATATAAACCATCCCCGCACTCCCTTCCACATTTTTCCTCTTTCCGCCGCTCTCTCCCGTGCCCTCCATCACTCCCGCATCGCTATACCCGCTGCGGCGGCTTTTCCACTCCTCCGGTCGCCGCTCGCCGCCGCTGGAGCCGCCGCCGAGCCAATTTGCCACCGCCATTAGCTTCGCCGCCGCCAAAGCTACCCCGGCCGCCGCATCCCCATCCAATCCCGCCATCGGGGCCCGCTTCCCTCCGCACGCCGGTGAGTACCACCATAGCCGCCGCCGTCGGCCATGGCTCTCACTCGTCGTGGGCACCCTCTCTCCCTCTAACCCCTCTCACTTCCTCTCTTAGGGTGTCCCGGAGCTCGGCCGCCGTTCGCCGTCGCTCTTCGGTCGCTCACCGTCGCCGTTTGCCGTCGTCTCCTCCCGCGCCGGCCGAACCCCGGTGAGAACTCCCTCTCTCTTCCTCCCGCGCGCGCCGCCGCTCCCCGCATGCGCGTCGCCGCGATGCACCGTCGCCCGCGTCGCCGGCCGCCGTCGTCTTCTCGCCGGCCGCCGCCGTCGGAGGCCGCTTGCCGCCGCCGCCCTCGCCCTAACCGGCCGGCCGGCTTGAAGCCGAGCCGAGCCAGGCCGCCTTCCTCCTTTCCCCGTGAGCCGCCGCCCGGTGGGCCCCGCTTGCCAGCCGCCCCTCTCTCTCTTTGAGTCACTGACCCGTGGGTCCCGCATGTCGGCGCCGCCCCACCCCTTGCTGACGTCAGCCCTGGGGCAATATTGCGCAATAAATACATTAAGGTTTTTTCTTTATTAGTAAAAACACAGAGAATCTTCTAAAAATCATAACTAATTCATCCGAGCTCCGATTAAGTCTATTCAAGTCTCAGTAAATTCATAAAAATGTATAGAATCCATTAAAAATGGTTTTGTTTCCTGTTTCAGTAGTCTTATAGCATGTTTTGCTTGTGTGCTTTGTTTGTCGCGTAGATTTCGGCCGTTCCGTCGATTCGTGGTTTCTCGAAGACGTTGCTGTGGTTCCATCAGTGCGAGAGCAAGGCAAGTCATACATTGCAATTGATCATATTGTACCTAATTTACAAATATCCCGCATTTCTATTAAATTTTGCATTGTTTTACAATATCATGTGGGATGGGTCCTATTACTCAGCTATATGTTGTTTCCCTTACGCCATTGATAACTTGGGTATTAAAATGACTAGAGGTTGGTTTAGGAGATGCTTAGCCATGCTTAGTTCAACTAGTACACAAAAGGGGCCACATTAAAGCATAGACTTTGATTATTGGCAATAGCTTTGGATTAGTGCCACCGCAATGGTGTTGGTTAATTAAAATACACTACATGGTGGGCTGTGGGTGCATGGTTTTGCTAGACGTGCCCATGGCGATTAAGGACCGGTTCGCGGGATGCCCTGGAAGAATTTATCGTACTTACCACAAGCCAGCGTGGGCAACGGCTGGGGCTTGTAGTGTAGCTTTTCTCTAGCCGACGTACCCAGGCGAGGGTGGGCGTGATGGAGTTGGGTCGGCCGGGGTGTCCGGTTGATCGGCTGCCGGATTCACCGCGGCACGAAAGGGGGGCTGCCCGTTGCCGGTTGGGGACGGGGGCGAACCCTAAGGTGTGGTGCGATCGGTTAGAGGGGGTTATGCGAAGGGTCCTGTCACGGCCTCTTTCCGGTATGTCGTGGTGGCATGTCGGCGCACGGGAACGTGTCGTGGGGCTGTGTCTTGTGGGTACAGTTGTACACCTCTGATCAGAGTAAAACTATTCGAATAGCCGTGCCCGCGGTGATGGGCGGTCGACCAGATTCACCGTGATTAGTCTCACCCCTAGTTTAGCTTAATGAACTGATTAGTTCAGGTGGTGGTTTGGGCCTGTTGCAACGTGGTGTAACGTTGGACAGTGATTGGTTAATATGGATTAATTACTACAACTGTTTTACTGCTTTCAACTACTGCTTTGAAATGCCGGCTTTATGCAAAAGAACCTTTAGCCTCCCTTGGATATATCTTGCATCATACCTCCTCTTCCGGTATGACTTGCTGAGTACAGTGGGTAGTACTCAGTCTTGCTCTTTTCCCCCACACCAGAGTTGAAGTTCTTCTCATTTGGAGAGGTCTTGAAGAGGTTGGTTTCGTCGCTGCCGTCAAGGGTTGCCTGTGGAATGGAATCGCCCGCTGCAGGAGTCAAGTCTTCAGGCTTAGCTCGCTTTTATCTTTTTCCGCTGCATTTGTAATCTTTTATATTTTTGTAAGACGTGGATCTGTATGTCAACAATTGTCGTTTGTGTACCCTGGCTGGTCCTGGACAGGGGTTTAATGCACATTCAGCTTAGAAATTCTGGTTCGTGAATTTCTGGGCGTGACATTCCACGTCACCCCATTCTGTCTCCATCATTCGATCTCAATCAAGCGATCGATCGTCCACACGCACGGCCGCACCGCATCGCGTCCCCTAGCTGCAGGCGCCCACCTCTTCCTCTCCCGGACCGCCGAGATCGCTCTCCCACAACTCACACGAGTAATGAGTGTCCTGCTCCTGCATCGATTCGTCTTTCCTTCCCGCATCCACTTCACCCCCATTGATCTCACCGTTGTCGCTCCGCACCCGTCGTCTCGCACGATTCGTCTCCCCTTCCTGCATCCTCTTTGCCTCCCACACTATAAATCATTGACCATCAATCACCAGAAACCATGCCCGTAATAAAGGTCACCCACCCTGTAGTTTGATTTACTCGCTTCTCTGCCCCTTCCGGTTCCCGGCCACTGGCAGCGTCGCTGTCGTCGGACACCAAGTTCATCAGGGGGCAGATTTATGGTTTCCCCTACGTTTTGTGTTGTTTCTTTGCGTAGATCTCAATTTTGGATTATTTGGTGTTCAAGTAGAGGATTTCGTGCTCCAGGGCTCCAGGCTCCAGCAACATGCTAACCAGCCGTTTGATGCAGTCAAGCAGCAAGTGCATACAACTATTGCTCTTTGTCTCATCCTCGGTGATGCTGAATTTCTGATGGTTTTGACCCTAACCGATTGGTTTTATTTATGGCTGATGATTGTTCGTCACATGACGAGCATCTATATCCATGTATGTCCATCTTTCTTATGCATATATAAAACTGTGTTTTACTTAATTTCACGAGTAATTCTACGGTACTTGAGGAGATACCATGAGGTACCAAAAATTTAATGTAAATTTTAGTACCTCATGGTACCTCACAGTACCTAGGTACTATGGGGTACCAAATTTACAATAGAAAAAATGGTACTTCATGGTACCTCCTCAAAGACCATAAAATTGCTCTATATTGGGATTGACTAATGTTCAGATCTTTGCTCCCTGTTGTGATTGGTGTGTTCAGGTCTTTAGTTGGACAGCCCAGGGGCCAGGGCATTAGAATCTATGATAGCTCATGCAATTTTGAGCAGATATATGTTTATGATGTAAGATACGTTCCCTTCTCAAGTATTTTTCTTTTAACAAATTACTATTTATTTGTTTGACTTTGCCTATGGTATGCCTAAACTTTACAAAAGCTTTCAATATCAGAGATCCTTTAAGGCTTCGATAGACAACACCGTTTCTGATACAATGGTTTCCCACGTACCCTTCAAGCTTTCAATGTACTTTTTGTTTAGTTTCTTTAATCCTAAATAGGAAGAGTATTTCACTTTTAAAGCAATGAATAAATGTATCAATCTGGCATTACTTGGTATATCATCATCTTCCCTTCCTGTTTTGGTTTTCCCTAATCATCTGTTCGCTATAAAGCATAAACGCTGAAACAATTCTGGCTTGCTGTCGAACAAAACCTGAACCGGCTAGGCTGATCGCTTTCTCTGGGAGCTGTTCCATCACTCCATAAGGAAACGGAAGCATAGAAGTAATTATCTGAAGAGTCATCACTCCATAACTGGATTTTATCTTCAAGTCAACATCTATTCATCACGCCAATGGCTGCAACTCCTGTAAATGTGAGACGATGAAAAGATAAGGTTGTTCATTCTCTTGCTGTCAAACTGTTGTATTGTGTCAACCTTCTGGTATGTACTACAGCAATGCAACACGTTATTGTCCGCATGTTCTTTTCTTGCTTATCAGTATTTTGGGTTTTGGACTGCAGAAAGGAGTTGATAGGATCCTCTGTTACTACCAGTCTCTAGCAGATCTATCAATGTGATGTTCTATATAAACCCCTAATTCCCTATCGAGTAAGCATAAGCATGCTGCACACTTTTTGTCATCTAAGTTCAGGTGTATAGCTGCATTTGGTTCCTTATTTCATTTTGCCAGAAATAGTTTTCTATAACATCTATACCAAAGTTGGAGACAATTAAGAAGAATTTGTTGTTTCTAGAGATGGAGTTGTATCAGCAAATAAAGTAAGTTATTTTGATCGGCCGAGGAATTGAGTTTCTCTTCTGCAAGAATTAGTAACACTAATTTTGAGAACTGTTTTCAGGAGAAGAAATAAGTGTTAACGTCTTAGATATTGCTAGAGATCAACTATCAATGCTCACATTATGTTATTGGTTGGATGTCACAAGTATATTATGCTCTAGAGAAATTAAATAATTCATGACTATTCGATTATTTCAATTGGTAAGTACAAGATTTCACTCTATTTTTTCGATTATTTCATGACTATTAAGGTATCGCATATTGGATCTTTATTTTCATTTACCCCATTTGCTTAGTGCACTGCATATTCTTATTCTTACTAAAATTTCAACTTTCATCCTTTCAGTCTTATCACTGACACTTGGTTGCAAAGGACAATCTAAAAAGGTCAATGATATTTTCTGTGCCCTCACTTTATAGAACTAATTTTTTATATGGAGGCACGATTTAGGGTTCCTTTTACATGACCTAGCTGAGATACAATTACCAGATATGCTCAGGAGTCGAAATGGGTTTGCTCGATGTTATTGTGACAGCAGGCGATTGGTTCCATGAAGCTCATCCATAATAAGGGTTCAGAAAGCACTTGAAGTTTTTTACTTTGTTGCTCTCTGTACAGCATATCAAACTAAGAACAATCAGCATATCAAACTAAGAACAATCGTTCTTTTACTGTTTTGGTCATAAAGCTATCCGTATGGGCAGTATGTCATATACATTTTAAAGTTGTCTTCGAGGAGTTAGTTTGCATAGGTAATCTATGAGAAGAACATAGCCCCTTAACTTGCTTTCAATTTTTTTCTCCTTTCATTTGTCAAGCTTACGCTATGTACATTTTGTTTTCTGTAAATTCCGCTGCAACGCGCGGGGAATCATCTAGTATAATATTACAGTTAATCACACGCTAATGACTTTTCTTGTTTTACGTGCCATACTTGAAGAGGCCATCGTTGTCAACACAGATGGATTTTGAGCTGATTTTTATTGCTCTGGTTCATGAGCTTAAGGAGCTAGGTCGAGACTTGTAACAAGACGAGAAAGCTGGTTGTCTAGCTTGTTAAGCCTTAGGATAGCAAACTGAGCTGAGCCAACTCCTTATCCTAATGAGCCAAACCATATTATTCAGCCCTACTCAGTATAGCCATAACCTGAGTTGGATGCTTTTATTAGCAATGCTGAAACATATGTACAATATTGTTCAATTTTAAGGGACACTTTACATTTTATATTGTATATTTGACATATATTGTTCAGTATATATAGCGATTCTGATCACCATTTGTATGGTATTGAAATAACCATGCACACATTAAAATGCTTAGCAAATTGAACTTGACATGATTTTTCAGAGCTACTTGCTGAACTCAAGAACCCAATAGTTGGCCAAGATGTAGGTTGTTCGCAAGGCACCACTGAAACCAGAGTCCGTGGCTAGCTTGGCGAACTCCAGCTCTGTCCTCTCCTTTCCTCCCCGGGAATTGCTGAGCATGATCATGTCCATCTGGAACGGGTATCGTGCTGTTTGGGCCAGATCTGGGATCGTCGGGAGGACAATCTCAACAGCAATCACCTTGCCATTGTCCGGCAGGGCTTGGTGGCAATTCTTGAGGATCTTGATGCAGTCCTCATCGTTTTGCATGTGGAGGATCATCTGTACATATATTTTGACAAACATTTGTTTTTATTCTGTAATATATATGATAAAGTCATTTGATTCAACCAAAAATTATGACCACCATGCTATCTTAGTTTTTAATATAGATATTGAATTCATAGAGAAGGAGCTGTTGTATGTTGTTCACCATACCTTTAAGAAAATTGCATCTCCAATATTAGATATGCTCTCAAACATATTTCCAGCTATATGTTTCACACCTGCATGTAAAACCAACATAGAAAAACTATATGGGTAGTATTTCTTAGCCATCTTTCGAGTCATTTTCATATCTTTTGGTACTAAATTGAACCACACAATGTTCAACTCTTCAATTCGTAATCATCCCCCAAGTAACTAGTGTTTTAAACTAGATAGAACTACAGTGGGTTGCCGAAAATATCGAGGAAATGTTACAAAATTTCTAGGTTTCGAGGCATATGTAATGAAAGACTCCCTAGGTTTTTGCTTTTTTTTTTCAGACAACCCCGTGATTTAGGGTAAAAAAACTATGCAAATTATTTTCTTTGATATATTTCTAACATATACCAGCTAATCAAACTAATTCTTGATATTTGGAGTGTATAAGTCGGTCACCATTTACATGTAAAATCGGCCATGCCACTATCGTCTAACATCGCTACAATACATCTACGACGAGCTTAATTAATTATAATGTTGCTATACTCACTAGTACAGATCCTTCTATCTGTGACGGCCTCTAACATGCCTACAAATAGCGGGCCATCACAAGGAAGTCATCTCAATCGGGCCGAAAAGTGCCCGATTGAGATATGAATGCACAGACATGTTAGATGGACATAAAACTTAAGCCCGTCACGGATGGCACCTATCAGTGACGGGCCGTAGTTTAGACCCGATTAGGATAGCATTCCATATCTCAAATGGGTCTCAAGTTAGGGCCCGTCACAGATGACCATCATCAGTGAAGGGCTATATACTAATGCCCGATTGAGATAACTTAATCTCTATCGGGCATTAATTAAAGCCCGTCACCGATGAGTATTTTTCCATTTTTCATATGAAATGTTTATATTGTAAGTTTAACTATAGCAAAATAATTAAGTGCAGTATAATAATTTATTTTATGAGTCAAAATAATTTTACGGGTAGTAAATGATTTCAAATGGAAAAAATGTCAACAACAAAGTTATATAACTTATCAAGATTTACAACTTTTAGTTTGGTCATTTTTCTATATAACATTTTTTTAAACAGTTTGAATTTGAATTGGAAAATATGACACCTTCAGACAACATTTTCAAATACTAAATGATTTCAATTGAAAAAGTCATCAACAACAAAGTTGAATAACTCATCAAGATCTAAAACTTTTATTTTTGTTATTTCTTTATCCAACAAAATGTTAGTAACATTGTTCACAAATTTTACATATATGTGTTATAGTTTATAAAACCATATAAGAGATATGTCAATTTTGTGAACAATGTTACTATCACTTTGTCGTAGGAAGAAATAACCAAAATAAAAGTTTTTGATCTTGATGAGTTATTCAACTTTGTTGTTGACAACTTTTTCAGTTGATATTATTTAGTATTTAAAAATGTTCTTTGAAGTTGTCATATTTTTAAATTCAAATTCAAACAGTTCAAAAAATGTTATATAGAAAAATGACCAAAATAAAAGTTTTGCACCTCGATGAGTTCTACAATTTTGGTTTTGGTGATTTTTCCATTTGAAATCATTTAATAACCCCAAATTTTGTTCAAAGTTGTCAAATTTTGAAAATTCAAAATTTGAATCGTTCAAATGAACTTATTTGTACAAAGAACCGATAGAATAGTTGTAGATCTCGATGAATTATACAATTTTTTTGTTTATGATTTTTGCATTTGACACACCGGCCTAAAATTAAATTTAAAGTTCTCATCTATGACGGGCTTTATTTTTGACAGATCTCAATGAGTTCTACAACTTTGTTTTTGACAGCTTTTTCATATGAGTTTATTTAGTATTATAAAATTCAATTCAAAATTCATTTTTCTTAGAATTATATATATTTGATCCAATTAACTCGGTTTTGCTAGTGAAATATGTGAATGGATATGAAATATGTGATCAAAATAGATGTTATGTGAATGTGGCTATGTTAAATATATTGATGTTAATGTATGTGAATGAATGAATGTATATGAATGGAGGATGTTGGGGTGTGACATCCTGGCATAGGGCTTAATAGGATTAATAGAATACTCATACCAACAAGTTACAACTACTATTCCGGAAGCTGATCTCCAAAGAACTTTGATGTTAAGCGTGCTTGGCCTGGAGCAATTTTGGGATAGGTGACCGACCTTCCCGGGTGCACGCGAGTGAGGACAAAAAAGACAGGCCTGGGAGAGGCGGGACGGCATGGCATGGACCTCAAAGGTCTGAGGCTAGCTATTTTGTTTTGGATTATACTTTTTTTTTTGGGATTATACTCATCTGTTTGGATTATACTCATCTGTGACGGATATTAACTTAGGCCCGATTGAGAGGAGGGTCATCTGTGACCGACCGACCGGGAAGTTCTTCCCGGATGCACACGAGTGAGGACAAAAGGCATGGCATGGACCTTTTTTTTTGGGATTATACTCATCTGTCTGGATTATACTCATCTGTGACGGATATTAACTTAGGCCCGATTGAGATGAGGGTCATCTGTGACCGACCGACCGGGAAGTTCTTCCCGGATGCACACGAGTGAGGACAAAAGGCATGGCATGGACCTCAAAGGTCTGAGGCTAGCTATTTTGTTTTGGATTATACTTATTTTTTTTGGATTATACTCATCTGTTTGGATTATACTCATCTGTGACGGACATTAACTTAGGCCCGATTGAGATGAGGGTCATCTGTGACCGACCGACCGGGAAGTTCTTCCCGGGTGCACACGAGTGAGGACAAAAAAGACTGGCCTGGGAGAGGCGGGACGGCATGGCATGGACCTCAAAGGTCTAAGGCTAGCCAAAAAATAAAAAAAAAAATTTGGATTATACTCATATGTGATGAGCATAAACTTAGGCCCGATTGAGATGAGGGTTATCTGTGACGGGCTAAAGTTAATGCCCGTCACAGATAAGGGTCATCTGTGACGGACACTAGTTGTGGCCCGACTGAGATAGGTCATCCATGACGGACTATAGTTTGACTAGTCGTCTGGGTTAAAGCTATCGGTGACAGGTTTTAATTAGGACCCGATTGAGATAGATTCATCCGTGACGGCTGTTTTCCCGATTGAGATAACTCTTCACATCTGTGACTTCTAGCCTGTGACGGACGCCGTATCCGATTGAGATGTGGCTTACCATCCGATTGAAATGATGGTATCCGTTCTAGTGACTTTTATTATGGGAGATAAGGCAAATGGTGTGTAAAGGGTTAGACTATATATGGTGAGCCCACCGTTGTAAATCTCAAAATTAGAATCGCATATACTTTACTGGTGGAAAAATTCCAAAATCCCCACTTTATTGGTTCCCTTCAACAGTTCAACATTATGGTTTGGTCCAAACTGCCCCCCTGAGCACACGTGAAAAGTGGTTTAATTTGAACGTATGGTGATTAACGTTTTTCGCGTCTCAGCATATACTAGTGTTAAATTAAAGGTCGGCACGTTACGTCAGTCTTTAATACTAATATTGATAAGTCAACTACTCAAACACAACTATCATAGCAATGGATAGAATATTACTCCCTCCCTCCGTTTCATATTTTTAAGTTGCTTTGACTGTTTTTATAGTCAAATATTTTTAAGTTTACTAAATCACAGAAAAATTTAACAATATTATAATACAATTTAATGAATCTGATTTTATGTTGTAAATATTGCTATTTTTTTTAATAAATTTAGTTATAAAAAAGATTAAAACAACTTATAATATTATACGGAAGAAGTATATTTAGTTACCCGGAATAGATGGAGCCTGAGAGATGACATGGGGTAGGTCGAAGTTAACGCCGGTGATATGCTTGTACCGGGAGGTGATCATCTCCAGGGTGGCGCCGGTGCCCCCGCCGACGTCGACGAGGACGCCGACGCCGTCGAACCCATGGAAGCGGTCGAGCAGCTTGTCAATCACAATCATGGACTGCTGCGCCATGGCCTGGTTGAACAGCGTGTTCAGCCGGCGGTTCGTCCCCATGTACTCGAACATCCGCATCCCGTGCGCCCTCTCGAACGCCGACGGCCCGCCGCCGCCCACCGCCGCCGCCAACTGACGCCTTCACAGGAAACGGCTTGACTTAGCCAAGGCTTTCAATTTTGAAATTGGTTTTTTTGCCGGGGGACCGAATTTCAGAAATTTCGAAATTTTTTTGCCGAAATTATTTGAAATTTTGACTGATTGTCAATGAATTTGAATACAATTTGACCAAATTCACAAAAAAATTAAAAAAACGAAAATCTCGGGCGAAAATCTCCGGTGGGGGACGAAATTTCAAATCCTGGACTTAGCTTGAATTTGAAACTGGTAGTTGGCGATGGAACTTTTGAGGTCGATCTTACCAGGTGCACAGGTAGTCCTCGTCGACGCCGAACAAGACCGAGGGGGCCAGAGATCCACGGTGGCTGTTGCCGCCGGCGGTGAACAACCTGCAGACGGGCGCCGGCGAGTATCGTCTCCGGGGAGGTTCGCCGCCGGGCCCGGCCTCCGTCGAGCACTTGACGACGTCGAACGACGCGAGGAGCCGCAGCATCCGGTCCACCGAGGACGCCGCCTCGGCCTTGTCCGGCGCCGCGTCCGGGAGCCGCGCGGCGGCCAGCTCGTCCGCGGTCAGTGCGCGGCCGTCGCCGGCGGCGGCTAGTGCGTCGAGGAGGCCGAGCTCGATCGCCGCCTTCAGTGTCATGGGGACGGTGAAGATGCACATTAGCTCAAACGCCTGCAGGCACGCCGCCTCCTCGTCGTCGTCGCCGGCGGCGACACCACCACTCGCCGGAGCCCTGCTAGTGTACGGATCCATGTGAGCCTCTCTGGTCAGTATGGCTACAGAGTTTCTCAAATCTGAACACTGAAGTTATCGGAGGTGGCTGTGATATTAAATTATGAGAGATTTTCAGCACCATAATATTTATGGCGCTATATTATGCACCCAAAAAGTCAAAGAGATAGTATTAATAAATAAAAGATACTTTAGATATTGGGGATGTGTAACACTTATGTATGAAAAGAGTTAAAAATGTAACATCATATTTTTAACAAAACCAATTTTCAGCTCCTAAGATGTCGCCATGATTTGATGTGACCTTGAATTTTGAAGACCCATTTTTGTTTGTTCTCGATAAATTTCAGTTAAATTGACAATAATATAATTTGGATACATTCTTGATTTAGGAAAAGCAGAAAAAAAATATGGACTGCACGGGTTGAAGGATAGTTTGGGCTAGTTTTGCTGGACTATCAATTTCTGTGTTTTAGTTTTAGAGAAGTGCGCTATAGCTTCTTCTTAAAAACCGTAAAATTATATTTATATTTATTTATTTTCTTTACTAGTAAGAGATCATCCTAGGTAGGATAATGATCAAGTTATCTGCAATCCTATCTGCACCAAAAAGGCCACCATCCAGTCTCACGGCTCAACTGAGTTGACACTGACATCTTTTGGGAAACTATAGATCGAGAATTCAAGAACGTGGTTGACAATAGCGGCATCTTTTGGGAAACGGCCAAACGGGTACAGATGGCCATATGGCCCGAGGCCCACGGCCCGGCACAAAGCCCGCAATTTTGGCCCGGCCCAAGCACAGCCCGGCCCGACTAGGGTCGTGCCCGTGCCGGCCCGGCCCGACTAGGATAATGATCAAGTTATCTGCAATCCTATCTGCACCAAAAAGGCCACCATCCAGTCTCACGGCTCAACTGAGTTGACACTCACATCTTTTGGGAAACGGCCAAACGGAACGGGGTCGACCAACGGTGGCAGAAGATGAGGCCAATCATGCATGTTATTATCGGAGGCAATAATTAATACTCTATCCATTTTTTAAATAGATGATAATTTATTTTATTTAAAAAGTTTATGTAAATGTATACGATATAAATTATGCTTAAAATACTTTGAGCGATTAAACAACTCACAACACAATAAATTATAATTACGCAAATTTTTTTTCCAATAGGTCAAATATGTGACAAAAATCAATAGCATTATCTATAAAAAACAAACAGAGGTAGTATCATCAGTGATCAGTCCATTGAATTATATTGAATATAAATTAATAAATAATACCCTCTCCGATCTACTACGAAAAAATACGATGTATGTGTTCTCATCGGTCGGATCGGCTGTGATGGTTGCAGTAATGGTATAAGATCTGACAAACGATTTATTTGCAGCTTAGTTACTCTCTTGTAGTATCTTCCACTTCAGTTTAACATCAGTTGCTAGTGGTAATATGAGTGAAATTTAATTGATCGGCCACTAATTTTGGAGGTTTGTTTTATAGTTTAAGAAAGACAATGAACTGCATACCCTTGCAGTTGCAGACCACTGAGAAAAATGGTTATACAGCCCAACAGATATATTCGCACCAACCATAATGAAAATTTGGTTGATTAATCTGTGGTTCTATAATTTGCAACATCTATAGGTGGTTGTAGCTTATTTGAAACAAAGAAGGAATAACTTCTATTATATTAAAAATGATGTGTGCTAAATTTTTATTATTTTGTTTAGGTACAAGGCTTATGTGTGCTAAATTTTTATTATTTTGTTTAGGTGCAAGGCTTATGAGTACATGAATTTAAGAACATTATTTATTCTTGTAATAAATACTTTTGAAATTATTGATGATCGAAAGTTTCTAAAAAATTGAGCAAATCTTATGGTTTAACTTCAGGAGGTACTCTATCCGCTATCACTACTCGCAATCTTTGGTTCCTCTGCATGGCCCAAGACTTACTATAAACGTATAGGCCAGCATCCGTTTTCACTTCTCCTGCAATGCTGTTACAAGTATTTCGATGAGAAATAAGTGGGGATTGCTAGCGCGCGCTGGGAAAAGGACCTGGCGAGCACTTCCCCCCTTTTAGTCTTAATTACGTATATTAGTTAATATACTTAACACTAATGATAGTAATTAAGAAAATATTCTGGAAATTTTTTTGGGAGATCTTTTTACTAACAGATTGAAAATTTTTGAAGTTAGATTTGAAAACTTTCAACTCGAGAATCAAGATTCAAAAACTTTCAAGTCTAGATTTGAAAAAATTTGAAAACTTTCAATTTGAGATTTGAAAACTTTCAACTCAAGATTCGAAAACTTTTAACTCAGATTTGAAAACTTTCAACTCGAGAATCGAGATTCAAAAACTTTCAAATCTAGATTTGAAAAAAATTGAAAACTTTCAATTTGAGATTTGAAAACTTTCAAATCGAGATTCGAAAACTTTCAAATCCAGATTTGAAAAATTTGAAAATTTTCAAATCGAGATTCGAAAACTTTTAAATCCAGATTTGAAAATTTTCAACTCAAAATTTAAAAACTTTCAAACTCAAAACTTGCTAAAAGATAAAAAAAATCAGAAAAAAAAGTGAGGAAAAAAAACGAAAGAAAAGAGTGTGCAGAAGGGGGTGCGCGCCAGCGCTGGGCCTTCTAGGCCTAAAACGCGCTCCGGCAGCGCGCGCGCGCTAACTAGCCTTTCCGGAAATAAGTGCACTTTCAGTCCCTTATCATTCCGTCCAGTTTAATATACATCCCTAAACCATAATACCATAAATGTTCACCCCTTGTCTTGATAAAACCGTACAAATTAAGTCCCATAGCAATATGAAGGACTGGTTTTGCTGACGTGGCATACTTGTCAGCAAAATTAAAAAATTGAAATACGTGGGGCCCATATGTAAGTGGCCATCACACTTCTTCCTTTACTTCCCCTCGTCTCCTCCGACCTTCCACCAGCCACGCCCAGCTCGCTGGGTACACTCCTGGCACCGAGTGCCCCTCCGATGAGCAGCTCGCGCACCAACTCATGCTAACGCACCGTGCAGCAACGCGTCAAGGCCGGTCTTTCCTTAACCGCGTGATCCGCCGGCTCTCCAAGCCGCAACTGCACACCGCCTACTCTTGAGAGATAGAGAGAAAAGAGGGGAAAGAGGGAGAAAGAAAGGGGAAGGGAACAAGGATGACATGTGGGACCCACTTTCTTTTTTTTTTTTGCCACATAGACGCTTAGGCTGCGTTCGGGATCCGGCATGGAAAACAAAGCACACGATTATAGTGAGATTAAATAAATATTAACCAAAAAACTTGAAAATGATTAATATGTTTTTTAAAGAAACTTTTATATAGAAAAGTTTAGGAAAAAGCACACCGTTTAGCAATTTGAAAAGCATGCGTGCGACAAACGAGGGAAGTGAATTGGGAAAGAGGAGAAAAGAACACAGCCTAAGTTAGGACTGGTGGACTAGGTCAACTTGCCAAGTCATCAAAACTAGCCATATATACTGCCAAATGACCTAATTTAATCCGGTTTTGTAAATTGAGGGTTAAAGATTTCCACTATTATGGTTTAGGGGTGCTAATTAAACTCGACGTAAAGATAAGAGATAGTAAGGCCCTCTTTATTTAAGCTTAGGCTTATTGGTCTAGACTTTTAAGTTAGCTTATTGGCTTATATGATTTATAAGCCGGTGGATTTAATGTTCTAAGTTTAGTGGTTGAGTCATATATCTACCTCGCATAAGCCAAAAAAGCTTCTCCAACCTAGCTTTTGGCTTAATAGTGTTAGAGTGGCTTATGGCTTTAAAAAAGCCAAACGGAAAAGCTGCTTGTTTGTTTATGTTTAGACTTTTTGACTTATAAGTTAGCTTATAAGCCTAAACAAGAGGGCATAAGTGAACTTATTCCATTTCGATGACAGCCCCATGGCAGGGCAGGCTTTAGGCCTAACTTCCTGAATTTTTTATTTGACGAAGCCCACAGTCCAAAACCTCACAATGCTCGACTGCATGAGGCCCATGTTGCCCAGTTAAGACAGCACACAAATAGCCAGCCACGCCTCCCAATTTCCTAAATGTACTCCCTCCGTCTCAAAATATCTATATCTATATCTATTTCCCGCACACGCACATGGTTTTCTTTTTGGCTACCCGGTTTTTCCACGTTTTTTTGCCCTAGTTTTTTTCACACGCAGTTTTTTTCTTGTCCGGTTTGCCAGTTTCCCGCACGCGCATGCTGTTTTTTTTGGCTGCCCAGTTTTCGGCTGTCTAGTTTTTTTCGCTTTTTTGGCCCAGTTTTTTCGCGTGGTTTTTGGGCTGTCCAGTTTTTTTTCCACCACTGTTTTTTTGCCATCCGTTTTTTTTTTCAAAGGCTGGTTTTTCTTACGCGTGGTTTTCTCCCGTTCAGTTTTTTTATGTGGAATCACCTTCCGATGAAGCACAAATTGAGTTGAATACAAATACATGACTCAGGAATTACAAAGGCCAAATAGAGTTGGAAACAATTAGATGGAATGCACACAGTCCAACGATAGAAATTACATACCGAATTACATAAAGAGTCCAACGATAGAAATTACATGTCTGAGTATGATACAAATATCTTATCAACCTATATATAAAACTGAAATCACGGATCACAAACAAGACTCATATGTACCTAAAATTTGGTGTGGATACTGAGCTCGACACTAATATATGCCCCCAAATTTGTTTTTTTAAGTGAGCAATTTCCGGTTCAACGTGATACTAAATCTGCGTTTATTGTATTTATTTTATGATGGATGAAGGTAATTATTTAGCCCTTAATGATGCAAACCTTAAGAATTGCATTTATTTTTTGGCACTGTAATTTGTAAAGTATTCTTCTACTTCCTGCACGGTGTAAGAACATAGCTATAGGTTATGTACTGGTAGAAACAAATAATTAGTTTACATCATGGTATTTCTGTTCTTTTTTATTTATAATGTCACTACCTTTCCACCTTTTGCATATATCATTTTATGCACCTTATTGAGTAAGTTCAGACAAAATCAATTAAATATAGCAAGTATTAGCGGTAATTATTTTTCACTCTTAACATACACATAGATGAAAAGGTTAGAACCAGATTAATTTTTTTAGAATGATCCAAAGTTAGTTCTTTGCATCAACTCTGCCATGTTAAATGCACCAAGAGCAAGAACAACTACTCCACTATATGCAATTCTAATATATACAATAAAACCTACAGCTTCCCCCAATTCGACCAGTAGAAATAAAGACAAACAGAGAGGCATGCAAACTACTCATACATATGCATCATGCATCCAGATCAAAATCACAGCTAACTAAGTGCAGTTCAAAGGATGTAAGAAGAACAAATTAATTGGAAGAGAGAACATTACATTTTTGCCGGACTTGATATCAGAGTAGATCACCATGAAATCACCCTCCTACAGCTCAATAAAACAAACATAAACATCTGAAAAAAAAACATAAGACATCAATCAGCAATATAGTTGAGCGCCACAAAGTAATTTCATTTTTTTTTTGCTTCTCAACGTTGTTTTCAAGAAGATGCATCATCTTTTGTTGAAAAAAATTGAAAATTCACAAATTCAATGTTTAATTTTTTTTGTTGTTAAATTCTATGTTATTTTGTTGAAGCTCCACCAACCTCCATGATAACAAATTCACAGCCCCCCCTGGTGTTATGAAACAAAATCACAACTCAAGAAAGGAAACCCAAGATCATATACTATCATATATTTAGATAATCTTCTTTTGTTGTTGATAATGTTTATCTCCAGCTTCATCTTCCAAGCTATAAATTGGTCCACAACCATTAGAATGATCCAAAGTTATATTTATTGCTTTATTATTTAAATTCATTATGTTTTTTTAAATGTGAAGCTTTTTAATTGATCGAAAAGACATATAAGATTACCCATGTGTGTAGAGTATAAATTTCAATCCATAGGTAGCACATAGGTTTATATTCATCTCAATATTCCATAAGTAGTAGAGCTACAAAAGAGATATAATACTTTGTTTCTCACCGTTGTTTTCGAGAAGATACATCCTGCTTGTTGTTGATAATGTTTATCTACAGCTTCATCTTCCAAAGTTGATGCCGCGCCATCCGAGTCATCATCCCCATTCTTAAATCCCAATGCAAAAAAGAAGACAAAGAGATAGGGAGCGGTATGCGCAAATGCCTGACGAAAAGAAGCTAGAATTACTTAAAAAACGTTGTGAAGCCTACAAGTGAAAAAAGGGTTCAAATGTCCTTCCAAATGTAAAGAACCCACATTGCATCAATTTTGAAGATGATCAACCAAGCTCATCGCATGCGACACAATCTTGTCAAACATGCCCTGTTCAATTAAATGGTACATCATGGTTTTATACCTCCACTAAATCTAATAAAGTTAAACAATATATGCTTGCAAATTTTTTTACTAACAAATGATTTGACCCCTCCACCAGACGAGTTTCACCATCAGATGCAGTCACAATGTACTCATGATACTCCTCAACCATAGAGTAGAACATTGATAATTGAAAAAAAAAGGTCAACTGATAGGGCGTATTATGTAAATTTGACACCCCGAGCAAAGGCAAGCTAAGATAGCGAAGATTAATGCTAACAAAGCATTGCGACGCAACACTCCAAGCCAATATTCCATTGCAATGGAGAACCCTGGATATGTTGCATCAAGCATATGTCACCAAGGAAGCTTGTAACAAACGGAGAAAGACATGCATTGTTAGCCCATCGTAATGAAGGGTTCAGAATTAGACATCACACAAGATCAGTCTCATTAGAAGACTCTTCTGCAAGTGCAGAACTATCCAATGGTATTGACTCCACTAATCAGCCAAAATTAGTGTAACAAATAACAGTGAGAATCCAATCTTAAAAATTTGGTTCATGTTATATATTCGGTAACAATGTTTTTTAAATAGACAATCTATGTTTAATATAACAAGGTACCAATGATGTACATCCTCCATCACAATCATTCATCAATACAGGCACAGCATGCGCGCCATGTTTATGTATAGTCACCTATTTCAATACAGGTGATGGTGAAGTCATTTTTGAGGTTGATACTGATGTTGATAGTATGTTTCATGTTGTGCAATTTCTCGTGTAAGTGAGATGTGATTCTAATTTCTACTTCCTCTGTTGTAAAATATAATAACTTTTATCTATGTATCTGCACAAAGATATGTTGAGGTACTTAACAGATTAGTATGACTACTGGACGTAAGATATATTTTTGTTTTGCACTGAGACCACACAGTTCGAAACACACTGTGAAACTATGAACATCACCTTGTCCCTTAGACTTTACTTATTACACTCTCTTCTAAGTTTATGGTGTATTGTTCTTGATCCACTGAAACATTGGCTCTTCATTTTGTACAGTTTGTTAAATCCTATGAGACTAATTGAAAATCATATTGGCTGGGGCAATGCCCAGAGTTTTGGCTAGCTAACCTCCCACATATATAAATTAAAGAGATTAACATTAAAGACAAGAAGACTATAATTCCACTTAATTATTTAAATAAGAGGCATGTGTATGGGTGTGTAAAGACGGTTGGGTTAGGTAAGACTGGGTGAGAAATAAATGACAAGTGGATATATAGCTAGGAAAAATAATACTCTTGAGCCCTCTAATATCTTGGAACATTTTTTTTAAACATGGTACAGACGCATACGCGTACATGGACACCCTACCCTTATAATAAGCATCTTTGGAAGGCTGAGCTAGCACGTCTGGAGATTGATGAAGTTACTACTAACGACTCGCTGTTGACGGAACATCGTTCATCGCTGAAAGAATAATTAGCCGTAAATACGAGAACATGTGTCTAGTCTAGGCCTTGAATCTGGGTGAGCTAGTTTCATGATTTCATCACAAAGAACCTAACCAGTTCAGCTACACTCATTTCACTTGGAACAAATTTTGAATGTCACGATTTGGGACGGAGGGGAGTAAATATTCAGTGGTTACAAAATTTAGATATTTATTATAACAATTAATTTGAGTTGGAATATTGAAAAAGGGTTGTCAATTTCTTAGTTTACTTTTTTTTTCTTATATCTATTAATCATTTCCTCAGCAAAACAAGTAGAATATTTGTTAATTTTTTTAACTTATACTACACAACGAATATGGACCGTTCTTGCTTCTTTTATATATGCATTTGAGTGAAGTCATGACAATTTAACTACTCCATCTGTTTCTGAATATTTGACGCCGTTGACTTTTTAAAATATGTTTGACCGTTTATCTTATTTAAAAAATTTAAGTAATTATTAATTTTTTTCCTATCATTTGATTTATTGTTAAATATACTTATATGTATACATATAGTTTTACATATTTCACAAAAGTTTTTGAATAAGACGAACGGTCAAACATGTGCTAAAAAGTAAACGGTGTCATATTTAGAAAGGGAGGGAGTATAATATTTTTATGTGCATTTCTGTTCAGTAAACTGCATTTGTACGCTTTGTAATTATAAACTTCAAATTATGTCTAGTCGCACCGATATATACAACTTCTGTTTAAAAACTTCTGAACGAACATTACCAGGAGATCAGCCAGAAAATGAAGAATGTTGTCATCACCAAGTCCTCGCCGGAGCTCGTCGGCCTGTCGACCAAGCCGGCGCCGCCGCCGCCCGGTGACATCAGCCTCTCCTCCTTCGACGAGGCTCTTGCTTTCGCCGCCTTCACGTCATTCCACATCTTCACCAATGGCATCGTTGAGCCGGCCATGGCGATCAAGAGGGCACTGTCCCAAGCTCTGGTCTACTACTACCCCATCGCCGGCCGAGCTAATTTCGCCGCCGGCGAACGGAGGCTCCGCATCTCCTGCACCGGCGAGGGCGTGGGCTTCGTCGCCGCCACGGCCAGCTGCGCTCTCGACGACGTCAAGCTGTTCGACCCGCCGTTCGCGGCGGTGTTGAAGGAGCTCGCCGTGGACTATCCGGCGGAGGGATGCGGCGAGGATGATCCGCTGCTGCTCATGCAGGTGACGGAGTTCGCCTGCGGCGGGTTCGTCGTCGGCGTGACGTGGAACCACGTCGTCGCCGACGGCTTGGGGATCGCCCAGTTCCTGCAGGCCGTCGGCGACCTCGCGCGCGGGCTGCCCCGGCCGTCGGTGTTCCCGGTGAGCTGCGGCGATGGCTCCCTCCCGGCGCTGCCGCCGCTGGTCGCCGCCATCGAGAAGACGATGCTGAGCCTGGAGACCAAGCGGTTCGCGTACCTCGACATCACCATCCCGTCGACCATGATCGAACGCGTCAAGGCGGAGTACGCCGCCGCCGCCGGCAACGTGGACTCCGGCGAGCCGTGCACCGTGTTCGAGGCGGTCACCGCCGCGCTGTGGCGGAGCCGCACGCGCGCGGTCATCTCCTCCGACGACCCCGACGCGCCCGCGCCGCTCGTCTTCGCGGCCAACGCGCGCAAGCACGTCGGCGCCAAGGAGGGCTACTACGGCAACTGCGTCACCTCGCAGGTGGCCGTGCCGACGAGCGACGAGGTGGCGAACGGCGACCTCAAGCACGTCGTCAGGCTGATCCGGCGAGCCAAGGAGGAGATACCGTTGCAGTTCAAGAACGCCGGCGGCGGTGGCATGAACGGGAAACGCGTCAAGCAGCTGGCCGGCGTGCTGTTCGGGTACAGCGCGTTCTACGTGGCGAGCTGGCGGAACATCGGGTTCGAGGCGCCGGACTTCGGCGGCGGGCGGGCGGCGCGGGTGATGTGCCACTTCGAGCCGACGGGCGTGCCGAGCTGCGTGGCGTGCCTGCCGCGCGACGGCGGCGGCGCCAGCGTTCTGTCGCTCTGCGTCAGGGACGAGCACGTCGACGCGTTCCTCGCAGAATTGGCAACTCTCGGCTGAATATTTGGGAAAGTTTTCTAAACTCTATATTTTTCCCGTCTCTTACTACGTGTGTATTATATTATATATCTAAATAGTTATTAAAAAGTTTTAAAATATTGAGCAATATATATATAATCTGTCACGCTCATTGTCACGCTCATTTCATAAGTTATCGATATCTATAAGTTATAACCAATGTTCTAAAAGATATTTATAATTACTACTAGCTCCATCCGTCCAAAAATATAATAACTTAGTATATTAGAACGAAAGGACTAGAAAATAATGTCCGTGCACTGCATCGGCCAGTATTAGGTAATTAAAGATTAACATCTGTTAGGTCCACCTGCCAGGCAACTTGTTTAGAATAGCTTATTTCTTATATGCCACTACAACTTCAACTAAAGTTTTTTTAAAAAATATATATATAAAAACTTTCCCGTGTACTAAAATGGGTCCATCCACATAACGTATATTGCCTACATATATTCACTCGTCCCCATTTTAATTTTTTTTTTTGCGCGGATCGTCCCCATTTTAATGATTGAATCATATACTGTAATCTTGACGCGTCGAATGCAATCAAAAAAGGAAGACAAGATTCGTGGAATAAGCCAAACGGCATATTCGTAAACGAGAAGTAATTTGTGAATACAAACTTTTATATACGTGTTCTTAGCGATCTAAAAGCAAATGCTGAAAAATAAATTTTAATGAGAAAACCTCAAAATTTGCTTTAAATTTAAAGTTGAAAATTTAAATTTTAGCTAATAAGTATAAGTATAAGAGAAAAGATAATACCATAGGAAGTCGATGGTAGAGAGAGAGAGAGCATGTTCATCAGGAAACTGAGTAAGACGGTAGCGTAAAATAAGAGGAGGTGGTTGTTCAATGGTAGAGGAAGACAGTGACAATACGAGAATCTAAGCTAGAGAAGGTGACAGGGAAAGGACGAGAGGTTTAGGGAAGCAAAATCACGACCAGATTAGATTAAACAAAAAGATTGTAGTAGCGTGTTCGGTGTTCATGCACGATGGATCGAACAGTGGCAGCTACTGTATTAATCCATAAATCAATAAATCACTAGTACTGTTACTTATTGTCCATGATGATGTGTGCATCCGAACTGCCGATTTATTCTCTGTACATATGTATATGCATGGCGTCATCTATACCTAGTAGAAAAAATGACTGTGCATTATAACAGGAAGAAAAGATGAGAAAATTGAGAAAAAGTTGAGAAAAATTTACAGTATGTAATTAATTAAAATACAAATTTTCTGAAATACTTGGGTATTTAATAAAGTAAACATGGGAAATAAAATGATATGGCTAGATTTAAATTTTATTAAGTTCTCCTTAATTAATTACACTCTTTGAGTTTTTTTTTGAAATTTTCAAAGCTTAATTGCTAATTTTAATAATACAAATATCATTTCAACATTTATTTAAATAAAATACTTCCTTTCACTCTGGGCCATTTTTAGCCCATTTCCTCCCTTAGCCTGCAGCCGAGCTGGCCCGCTTTCCTCCCTTCTCCTCCCCTCCGTCTTACCTCGCAAGCACACATCCGGCCCAGTAAGTAACCTAAAGTCTAATTTACCCCCTACTCCTCTTCTCACCACCGTGTGGGCCCCAACCGAAAGTCTAACCTAATTGCTTTGTGTTGGACCCACCGGCGCACGCGTTGCATAGCAAAGCAGTGCTTCGGCCCGACACAAGATTGATCTGAGCCATTCGTTTTGATGGACGGCTCAGATCAGTTCCGAATGCATCAAAACCACCACTGACGTCAAAAAAGACCCTAACCCTAGATTCACTTTTTCCCACCGCCCGCCACCACTCCCCCTCTACCGCTTCCCCTCCCCTCCCCTCTCACCATCAGCGGTGCCACTCCCCCTCCACCTCCCCACTGACGGCGCTACTCCCTCTCGCCCTCTCTCTCCCGTCTCGCCGGCACGTCAGGGGTACGGCAGGAACGGTCGTCCCTCCCCCTCTCCCTCTCCCCGTCGGCCTAGATGGCGAGGGTACGGCGTGGAGACGGTCGTCCCTCCCCCTCTCCCCCTCCCTCTTGGCCTTTGTTTTTGTCCACATAACCTGGAGCGGTAAATCTAATTGGAGAGGCATCTCCAATTAGTCTTAACCAGAGATACCCATGTACTAGTACTTTAGAAGTTTTAGTTGCTATTAATTCATTGAGCAAGTAGGGGAAATATTCCTCTCATCTATGCTTCAAATAAAATTTTCTCTTAAATTACTCATCCGATTTAGAATCCAATTACACTGTTGTGTTCGTAATAATTAAATCTTTACAATAAGATCTCACATGATTATATTTTGATGAAAAATTACAAATTACTTTTATGATATGTCAAAATTACTTTTAGTTTTCACTAAGTTACTTCTTAGATATATAAAAGTAAATTCAGTAAAGGCTAAAAGTAATTTACATATATTATAGAAGTAACTTATAACAAAAGGAAAGTAACTTTAATTAATGCCTTTTTTCATTGAACAAATTATCTCATATATATATATATATATATATAGGGAGCGTATCCTATGTACACAGGCCCTCGCGTGTACACACCGTGTACACCAACTAAAAATTATCACAAAAAATTCTAGGAAAATTCATACATGTACTTTCAATAGTATTACATCTACGTGCAAAGTCGCATCTTCAAATTCATTCTACATAGAGAATAACAAAAAAGATAAAATTCTGACAAAATTGCAACCTTAAAACTGTCAGATTTTTTGTTTTTTTTGTTACGGCTAAAATATAATGAATTTGATGTTAAGATTTTAACCCTAGGTGTAAGACAATTGAAATTATGTGTATGATTTTTTCTAGATTTTTTGGTGATATTTTTTAGTTGGTGTGCACGTGTGTACACGTAAGGGCCTGTGTGCATAGGATATGTTGCCATACATATATATATATATATATATATATATATATATATATATATATATATATATATATATATAAAAGTTGCTTTCTATTCATTCATAATGCTCTGAGGTGATTGCTTTTATTATTTTTTTAGTTAATTCCATAATTTGTGCTGATTAATTTAATTTCTAGATAGAATCATGTTTTTATCTCTACAACAGATTTACTTCAAATGACATGCTAAAGTTACCTTCTTTTGTTTTAAGTTACTTCTATAATATATATAAATTACTTTTAGGTTTTACTGAATTTACTTTTATATATCTAAGAAGTAAATTAGTGAAATCTAAAAGTAATTTAGACATATCATAAAAGTAATTTGTGATTTTTCATCAAAATATAATCATGTGAGATCTTGTTGTAAAGATTTAATTGTTACGAACACAACGGTGTAATCGGATCATAGATCGGATAAGTAGTTTAAGAGAAAATTGTATTTGAAGTATAGATGGATGATACCTCTTATAGATGGAGTGGTAGCTAGTTTAGACAAACCAGCTACCACTAGCTATGTAGTTACGTCCAACCCGGAGACAGTGGCAGTGGGGACAAGAGCTCAAGCTAGAGAGACGACGGCAGATCCGGGAGGACGACGCCTCCCCTGCTGCGAGTGACGGCGGCAGCAGCGTCCTCCTGGGGCTTCCACAGGCGGATCAGGCGGTGTCGTGCGGCTTCCCGCGAGCGGATCTGGCAGCGACGGCGGAGTCGACGGCGCCGCGGGCTGATCTAGCGGCGACTGCGGCTTCCCACCGGTGGATCCGATGGCAACAGTGGCATCGGTGGCTTCCCGTGAGCGGATTCGACGGTGACGAAGATCAAGATAAGATCTCTGTGGTTTTTATAATTTTTCCTGTTCGTTTTCTCTTTGGATTGTTGGATTGGATTTTGTATATATCTTTGAATTTGTGTTTTATCCGTCTTACGCGATGTGTTACTCGTTCGTGTGAGAACGGATGCCATCATTCGATCGGACTTACAGATGGAAAATTGATGTGACGAACGGAAAGTAACAAATTATGTAAGTAGGTATATGATATGTGCAATCCTTTCGTACGCTATACAATTATATGTGGTGCGAGCCTTTCTAATGTGGCACACATGTATATAAGGCCTAATTTATAGTCTGTATTTGTATTTGTCACGGTTATTCGTCGAATCTCTACTATTATAAAAATGGAAGATATTTTTGCCGGTACTTTAGTACGTCATCCGTATTTGAACATGCTTTTAAGTTACTTGCTTTTGGAAATATAGATCCGTGTTTGGGTTGGTTTTTAAGTTCATTCGCTTTTTGAAATACGAAAGAAGTCATATAAGAAATCTCTTAAAAAAACTCGCATGCTAACTTGAGACTATATATAGCACTTCTAATTGAAGCTCATGATTTTGTTAAAAAAAATATCCAAGCGAATTCCCACAGCAAACTTCACCTTAGCTAAACCGTCTAATAATAATAAGATTAAAATGGCTTCACCCGTCGCAATGCACGGGTATTTTTTTAGTCAACAAATATACATGAAAAGGTTGCCGACACCGCCTGCGTGGCATCTCGGCCGAAAACTTCCCACCTGCAGCACAGCCGCACTCCACCACAGTGCTGTCTCCTTCCAACTCGGAAGCTCTAGGCGGAGCTAAGCACAAACCCAAGGTCATCGTCGCCTCCCGCTACCTCTTGTTTCCTCCTTCAAATCCACTTCCCTAGCCATTGGCCCCACCACGACCTCGACGATGATGACCTGCGGCACTGCGTGTCTGCGTCCCCGGCTGACTTGAGGCAGCCGACGCTATTGCTGAAGGGCGACGCACAAGCTGACGCTGCATCAGATCAGGCCGGGTTCCGGGGCGCAGTGGCGCTGTCGCATTAATTTGGTTGTGGTTGATAATTGGGCTTAATCAGATTGCTCGAGCAGATCGCCATGACGTCGCCTCGATGCATCCGCGGACTCCATCACACAGACATCCTTGCAGAGGGCAAGCGAGGTGTGCGATGTTGTGCAAGGCCGGCTGGCTGGGGCGCGCAATGCGAAGAGACAATGTACCAAACCACGCACTCGATGGATGAAGCGGCAAGCGGATAGATACGACGATGGAAAAGGTATCGAATTTTTAAGTAGGTCAGATTAGATTTTGGAAGGGACGCGAGAGTAAAGGGGAAACCCTTCCCATTATTTTGACTGCCCTATCCATAGTTGTGACGATTAATTCTGCAGCAATGGAAGTGATGGGCTAGAACTCTCTGATTTTCTCTTATGTCTCTGTAATGCAACTTCTGCATGCAAATCTTATATTATAGCTACTTAAAAATTATAACTTATCGATCGTCAACTATTTTTTCTTCGTCAATCACCTATTTTTCTGTCCACCAATCACTTTTTTTTTGTTGTGTGCATCTATATATATATATATATATATATATATATATATATAGTAAATTTGTTTGGTGCTCCATGGTGCCCGGGCACCATTGTTGAAATTGAGTATATACCCAATTCAAATGAGTATGAAACTTTTTCAATTACTTAGGTATTAACATTAACTACTTTACTAACTAGTTTAAAGCAAGTTTGAACTGAATTTGAACTTGTTTTTGTTAGATTTTAATTCTAGGTATATAGCATCCATACATATAATTAGTTAGGTATGTAATCATGGATTGTGAAATAAAGTTAAATTTGAGTTGTTTTGTTGATAAGTATAGGTATGAATCAAATTATTATAACTAGGTATATACTCACAATTTGAAAATTTTGAAAAATTTGAGTAATTTTGTGCATTAGATACCATGGTGCCCGGGCTTCAAGGTATAAAACACACAAATTCTCTTAAATTTTTAAAAATTTACAAATTGTAAATAGATATCTAGGTATATGAATTTGATTCATACAAATACCTAACAACAAAACAACTCAAACTCAACTTTATTTCACAATTCATTATTACATACCTAACGAATTATATGTTTAGATGTTATATACCTAGAACCAAAATGTAACAAAAAAAAAGTTCAAACTCAGTTTAAACTTGTTTGAACTTGTTAGTACAGAAGTTAATGTTCATATTTAAATATTTAAAAAAAATTCATACTCATTCAAATTGGGTATTTCTTGGAGCCCATACTCCATGTAGCACATATATATATATATATATATATATATATATATATATATACTAGAAAAAAATGCCCGTGCGTTGCAACGAGTAAAAATATTTTGAAATTGATATACATTATCTAGCTTGCTTGGTTTTTTTAGTTGAATACTCCTTGGTTTTAGGCTGAAAGTCCCATTCATTTCTTTTCAACCCTCAGCCTTGTTCGCTAGCTCCATCCGCTCGGCTTGCCTCTTTGGCACGGCCAGTGTTGGACTCAGGATGTTGCGGATGAAAAAATTTAGGTAAGGACGGACGAATCCTTACATACTTTTTTATTACTAGCAAAAATGCCCGTGCGTTGCAACGGGTGAAAAAATTCTAATGATAATATACGTTTTTCATAAATAATCATGTCAATGGCAATGTTTGTATTTTAATGAGCGGCTTGTTTTTTACAAACGGTGTTTTTTTCTTGCGCGATTTTCTCAAACCATTCAGAAATGACGCATTTCTTTCTAAAAGATTTTTCTAACATGATCTTTTTGCTTTTTTATTTACAATGAAAACCATATTTTTCTCCATTTTTTGCTTTTCTTTTCTCGTGTGTTTTTTTGCCTTTTTTTGCCAATTATTTTCTCGCGTGTTTTTTTGCTTGTTTTTTTTCAAATGTTATTTTTGTTGCTTTTTTTAAAAACAAGAGAATATAGACGAAATAAAAGCCGTGTAGTAGGTGGCAAAAAATCGATGGATCCTATCCGACTCGGAGCGATTTTTTTAATAGACGGTGTTTTTTTCTTGCGCGGTTTTTTAAAACCATTTGTTAAAATGGCGCGTTTTTTCTGACAGTTTTTTCCTTGCATGTTTTATTTTTTAAAAAAGTTACCGATGATGGAAATAATTTTCCTCGCGCGTTTTTTTATTTATTTATGGAAGATGGAAAACCTTTTTAGCGTGTTTTTTTGCGCTTTTTCTGACTTTTTTCTCACGCGTTTGTTTGAACCGTTTCTATTCTCTCGTGCATTTTTTTAAAAAAATAGTTAGATTATATTAGAGATAGAGAAGAGATATATATTGATTAGAAATTTCGCCCTTTCCATTTTTTTCCTGTGTGCATTTTTTATTTTATACGAACAAGCGTTTTATTTTTTACGAACCTTTTTTTTCGCCACTTTCTTATGGAATCGGACAAACTTTTTTAGATTTTTTTTCTGTTTTTTTTCGCCTTTATAGGAATCCGACTTTTTTTCCTGTTTTTAACGGAATCGAATCTAGTATTTTTTTTTTCACTTTTTTTTGCCTTTTATAGGAATCAGATTTTTTTTCGTTCGGATCTACGGTTTTTTTTTTGCCACATAGGGGAAACGGAACTTTTGTTGTTGTTGTTTTTCTTTTTTTTTTTGCAGCTTTCCTTTTTCTTTTTATGCACCTTTCTGCTTTTGTTCTCTCTTTTATTATTATTTTTAACAAAAACGGCCTCAAGTACCTTATTGCAAGATTATAGGAACTCAAATATAAATATAAAAATTATAGGGACTCAAAAGCAAAAGTACAAACCCAAAAATTAAAATCATATAAAAATGGAATGCTCTCGACCTGTAGGTTCTGTTTTATTAAACAGATCTCTAATCCGGCACATCATTTTGTTTCACCAAGATATGTGAGATATCACGGTATAGATTAAGAATCGGATCTATAGTCGGACTTTTTTTCTGTTTCTGAGAGGGAATCGGATAGGAGTCGGACCTTTTTTTTTTAGCTTTTTTTTACAGACGAAGGAAACATCTTTTATTATTTTTTAAGTAGTAGAGACAGAGATAGAGATAGAGATTTTTTTCGCTTTTTTGACATGGAATCGGATTATTTTTTCGCCCTTTTTTTGGGATCGGACATTTACGGTTTTTTTTCTCGCTCGTCCGTTTTTTTGGGGCAGTTTTTTTGTCGCCCTTTTTCACAGAATCGGACTTTTTTTTTCCCTTTTTTATTGGACAGTTACGGTTTTTTTCATTTGGTTTTTTTCGCCGGTTTTTTGTCGCCCTTTTTTTCACGGAATCGAATTATTTTTTTCGCCGGACAGTTACGGTTTTTTTTTGCCCGGTTTTTTTCCTCGCTCGCCCGGTTTTTTTGACGGACGATGGAAGCATATCTTTTTAAGTAGTAGAGAAGAGATAGAGATATATGGTTTTGATCTCCTGATGTGTGCTGAATAGGACTTGGTACGATTTAAACCAACTCCTGTTCGGTTGATTTACAGCCAATTTGGAGTGTTGATTTTTTTTTTCTATAGTCAGATTTTTTTTATGTTATGCTGAACCTTTTTTAGATGGAAACTTGTTTTTTTTGTCATGGTGGGGTATCGAATCGATTTTCAAAGGCGGTTAATTTTTTTCCGTGTTGAATAGAAATAGGACTTTTTTTTTTGCTGCGCCTCTTTTTTTTTTGCATTTTTCTGCCCTTTTTTTAAATTTTATGGTACGATAGGAATAGGAATCAGATGATTTTTTGGGGCGCTTCTTTTTTTTTTTTTTGCCTTTTTTACGTTTTTTTTGCCGCGTCGGAATCGGTCTTTTTTTGCCGCTTTTTTTTTTCTCGCCGCCCTTTTTTTCACCCTTCCTATTTTTTTTCGCGCTGGCCTTTTTTTTTTTACAGTCGGACTTTTTTTACACGGACGAAGGAAACACTTTGTATTTTTAATAGTATATATATATATATTTTTGCCCTTTTTTATTGGACAGTTACGGTTTTTTTCATCCGGTTTTTTTCGACGGTTTTTTGTCGCCATTTTTTTCACAGAATCGAATTATTTTTTTCGCCGGACAGTTACGGTTTTTTTGGCCCGGTTTTTTTCCTCGCTCGCCCTGTTTTGGTTTTTTTCCTCGCTCGCCCGGTTTTTTTTCGCCGGTTTTTTTGACGGACGATGGAAGCACCTCTTATTTTTTAAGTAGTAGTAGATTAGGTACATATTAACACCATAAAAAGTGATCGTGGGTCCTTTGCATGTGCAGCAACCTTTTGTTTCTTTCATGGAAAGAAAGGGCATTAATTTTGTATACTTGAATATGTATTACATCCTATATATCGGTAAGCATATATTTATATATATTTTTGTGTATATAATATGATTATCTTTACTTTTCAAATTAAAAAATGGTTCATTATAAGATTTCAGAATCAATAATTTCGAATTAAAAAATGGTTCATTATAAGATTTCAGAATCAATCTGTTGAAGAAAGAGGTGCAATAGTTTTGATTTTTCAGCAATGGGATGTGCATGGTAATATGATTTGACACGAAGGAAGGAAAGTAGACTTATTCTAGGATGGGCCCATAGACATAGTGCCAGCAATAATAGGTGAAAAAATGCGGGAGATTTGACACGAGGGAGGGAAAGTAGACTTATTCTAGGAGGGGCCCATTAGCCCATAGGCATAGTGCTAGCAATAATAGGTGAAAAAATGCGGGAGAGGAAGGTGGGAATCGAACCCTGGTCGCCGGGATGAAAACTTTCGATGTTAACCATGTAAGCAGATTACTATATGTGCTACGAGATTACATGGAACTTACATATAGTATATAAACCTTGGTTTTGGAGTAGATTGAAAATTGTCCGATCCGTCTATTAATCAGATTAAAACGGATTTAGCTACACGTGTGGGACGGACGAAAAAAACGCCCGGAATCCTTACATATTTTTTAATTATATATTAGGTGTATATATATATATATATATATATATATATATATATATATATATATATATAAGGAGGAGTTGCCCCCTCCAATCCTACTGGTGAAATCACTCGGATCATCCCTACCGTCATCCACATCTATCTACTAATCTGGACCGTCCATCTTCTTCTATCATAATCCGTTTCGTCGTCCTCCTGATGAGCGGTGGTCCTCGCGCGGCTCTTCCTATCCTACTGCCAACTCCCGCGATGACCGCGCGCTGACCACGCCTCGCTCTCTCGCGCCGCTCCTCCTCGCTGATTCCAACAGCGACGGCGATTCCACTGATTCCACCAATTCTGCCGCTGTTGGATCTCCACTGATTCCATCGATTCCACCAATTTCGCCCCGAAGCGGTGACTCCGCCGTGCGCATCCTCTCTCGCTCGCTCCTCACTCGACCAGTGCCGACCCACTGGTGCACCGCCACAACGCCGGATCAGCGCCGAGCCACCACCGCACAACTGCATCCCCTTCCGCCGGTGCCACGCCCGGGACTGCCCCCGACGACGACGGACGCACGCTCCCATTGCTCCTCCGCAAATAGCTCCTGAGCTTCACGCGAAGCCCGTGCTGGCCCGGCCCCACGAAAGCCTCTCCTCCGCGAATCCCTCCCCATGGAAGCCCTAAGCTCCTCTCTCTTCCTCAGGGAGCGTCGCCGATCCGTGGGTCGCTGCTCACCCTCCCGTCATCGGCTGCCACCCGGCGTCTATCGCCGTCGCTGTTGGATGCAGGTCGTTGTCCGGCGTTGACTGCTCTCGCTATTGGATCAAGGTTGTCGCCCATCGTCAGGCATCATCCACTGCCACCGCCGCTCGCCGGCTCGCCGCCCGATCGAGCAGGCCAGCACCCATCTCCAGTGCCCACCAGGTGAGTTCCCACCCTTGCACTGCAGCCACCCTAGCCACCATGTCCAATTACGATGAAACATTCTCTTTTTTCCCTCTTTCATGTTCTTTGTAGGTGAACCAGGTATAGAGGATGTGGTGGAGGCGTGGGGGCTAATCACTATCAGTCAGATTTTCGTGGATCGAGCTTATTACCTGAGTTTTCTCCTCTTCGCTGATGGAGCCGGTTCAGGTGCGCTGCAAAGGAAATAGTTGACGCACCCCCAGAAATCAAGTAGTTTAAATACTTATCTGTTGAATAAACTAGCATTAAACGACATAACGGTGATTCAGTAGTTTTGTTGTAATAGTTGCTATCGTTGTTTTCTTGCAGATGAATGTGCTCTTATCCTGATACGGCATATAGTGAATCATTGTGGAATGACTGAAATCTGTTTTACTGTGGAATGAGCAAAAAATGTTTACTTGCGTTGATGTCGAGAAGGTTATATAAGTCGGGAGCTGTTTGGAAAGGGTTTTATCGGAGCAACATTATTGGGAAAGTATTTTGCGGAGCAGTTTGGAAAGGGTTTTATCAGAGCAATTCTGGAAATTGTACTTTTATTGGATCAATAATGATTGGAAAGGATTTTATCGGAGAAATCTTGATTAGGAAGGTATATGTACGTGTGGTCAGAAATTTATCCCTTTGCAATTCAATAGATGCATTCTCTATTTTGCTAACAGGAATTAATTTGCATTTCTTTGGTAAGAAAACAGACGATGTGCATTGAAAGAATTATTGTTCTTTGAGATCTTGATAATATGTTTCTTGTCCAGGCATTCCCATGAGTTGCAAATCCAAGGAAGTTAATAACACGACCTGTCTACAGTATTACAAGCTAATCGATTTATCCCATTACAAGCTAAAGCCCACTGGTATGTTTTTGTTTCTCTGCCATTCACCATTGAAATATGGAATGCCATATTCTTTTTTCCTTCGATGCACTCTTAATTGTCTGTTCCAATTTCTTCGACCACTTATAATTTGCAGTTTGATATTGCTTTATCCCGCTGCTTTGCCATTAGAACCAACAAAAGGAGAAATGCCTTTAGCTGAAGTCCTCAGATTCAATACCAAAGTTGATTGTTTGATTCTAAACATAATTATCATGGTTTCTTGTGGTCCTTTAATGGTGATATTAAGATTTGGGCAAAATTGGTACAAAAGCAACATGTCTAAAATACCTTGGTAGCTTCCCCATTTCTATTATCTCTCCAATTTACTCTTAAATTGTATGATACAACATTATCAAATTTCATAGTAGTTATTTTGGACTCACCTCTTCAAAGTACCTGTCATCTGGGTTGGGAGGTAATTTCTAAATCTCAGCTCTACTATGTGATGATCTGACATTCATATTTTACTATATACTTCTTGTGACTAGAATTCCTGCTGCATATTACGTACTAGCTAGGTATTTCCTCTTACAATAATGGTTGTCAGAATTAGCAGCATGAAACTGATCAGCTCAACTCCATGCTTGAACAATTTGTGAGTTTTTCTTTACTCCAGAACACCTGATCAGTTGACATCTATGATATATTTAACAGATTATGTTGATTGCGCATAAAGAAGTAGCCCAACATATTTCTGCTATGCACATGAACATATTGGTACATATTTACAATTCTTTATTTTTACGAGGCACTATGCTACTGATAGTCTATTGATGGGCTATAGCTGAATTTAGTTTAAAAACAACTACTGGTTTTTTTTTCACCTACGTTGCCATTCCTCCGTTCCTGCATGTCCACTTTGTTGCAAATCTAGAATTGTGGAGAAACTCTTGATGTTCATCATATGCCAGTTCATACTTTTCTAAATTGCCAAATTGAAAAGAGGGTTACATATTTATTCAGTCCTATCTGCAGGTTGGAAATTGTATGCAGCTAGCTAGATCACTTTCTTATCACAACTCACAAGATTGCCACTTTATTAGCTATAGTTTGAATCTAGGATGGTCTGCCATAAGGAGCTTTAATTACTTCTATGAATTTTGTTAAATCAAAATTGATCCATTTGTGGCTTTTATTGTTTGAGATTGAAAAAAAAATCAGGTTGCTGCTCAAGAGCAAAAGGCAATAACATGGGGCAGTGATAAAACTATTTTTGGGCACAGTTAGTCTGTGACTATGTCTTCATGGGCATAAATGAAAGAGAAACTCATTGTTAAAAAACTGAAATGGAAACAACTTTTCCATGGTGATCCGATTGACCATCGCTCGGATCTTGGATATCAATACTGTAATTCATAAAGTACAGAATACATGATTCAGATGGAGAAAGGCAATACATGAGGAAGATGTTTTGAACAATATATTATCTTAGGTTAAACTAATGTTTTTTTTCACATCTGGTGTTTTGTACCCTTACTAATAATAAATTTGATACTATAAATTCTATCTCATTATATGCTTGGCAAAACATATATCTTATTTTGGTTGTTTGATTTGTATTACTAAATAATTTCTGTAGCGTTATCACGGACAGATTACTAGTTTTATATAAAGGCCGGAGGTAACTCGTGTATCATCTTGATATAATTAACTGAGTCTAAAGCTTTCATTATCTAAAAAAATCACCTATTTTTCATTCGTACGAGCTGTTTTTACACATCCGGTTCCGAACTTTCCGATCGGAGAAGTTAATGGGTCAAGAGAGAGGAAGAGAGGGAGGCTGGGCCAAGATCGGTGGGCCGTATTTAGGCCGGGCCATTTTAGCTGGGCAGCCTGGGCTGGCGCGGGTCAACGTGGACCCACGCATCCGAGGTGGCAAGGGGCGGGTCCTTTGGGCCGACGTGGCACCACCACATGGGTGTGGACCGGGTCTTTTGATGGTGACAGCGGCTTCTGGAGGGAACTCCGGCTCGGACGTCTGATGTTTGGAAAAAAATTGGACACTGACGTCAGCATGACGTCAATGTCCGATTTACGTGCAAAAACTACTTTAAACTGATTTTCCTCTTAAATTACTTATCCAAATCATGATTCGATTGCACCATTAAATTCGTTGCAATTAAATCTTCAAAAAAAAGACCGCACATGGATATATTCCGACGAAATTTTTTTTAGCTTATTATTGAATTATTTTTAAATGTTGCACGATGTTCCACTAGGTATATCGTAATTGTTTCACTAAATAGATCGAAAATGTTTCACTCGTTTAAATCGGGTGTTGTTTCACCCTATATAAAAATAATGTTTCAGCAAATAGCGAAAGAATGTTTCAGTTCACTGCAACATTTGATCCATATATAGTGAAACATTATAAGTACACTAGGTGAAGCATTTTTCGGTGGAAAAAAATGAAACGTATTCCCTTGTAGGGGGTTTCCAAAATATGTGGGTTTTTTTATTGCAATGGAATATTTCAGTTCACTACAACATTAGATCTGTACACAGTGAAAGATTATGAGTACACTAGATAAAACATTTTTTGTAAAATAAAAAATAAACCAAATTCCCTTAATAGGGGTTTCCAAAATATGTAGGTGATTTGTTACAACGGCGTGTTCCATAATATCAAAATCCACTGCAACATTTGATCATCATATGCAACATTAAAAAAATATCAATAGAGAAGCTAAAATATTTTTTTGTCGAAATATAATTATGTGTGGTCTTGTTGTAAAGATTTAATTGCAATGAATATAACGGTGTGATTGGATCGTAGATTGGATAATTAGTTTAAGAGAGAAATCGTTTTAAAACTAGAGCTGCAGGAGGCGCGGGAGCCGAGGCGTCCGATTTTTTCTTTGACGTCCGAGGCGCCGGAGCCGAGGCGTCCGATTTTTTCTCTGACGTCGGACGTCAGGCGCGCAGCATTTTCCGTGGCTTCCGGGAACAGCCGCGACATCGACATGGGATGAGCAGAAACGTTACCGGCGTTTGGATTGCATGCAAAGCCAAAACAGAGCTAAGAGATTCTATCTTATACCCAAGAAAATAAGTTACAAAAAATAAAAGGAATAGAAGAAAAGACATATTATAGTCAGAAATATGTTGGTGTTAGGGGCTGTTTGGATGCTTGCTTCAGTTTATCAAAGTTCTATAGCTAAAGTGTTGGTAAAGATATGTGTCTATAATAAGTGGGATCATAAAATCAAAAAGTGTGACATGATAAAAATGTGGCAACCAAGCAAACACACTAAGATGGTCAAAATAGCTTACCAAAGTTATGGGAAAGTATAGTCACCATCCAAACAACCTCTAACAGTAAACATTCTATGTGATGCTACAGTAAACATTCTCTAATTATAGATTAATTAGGCTTAAAAAATTTGTCTCGTGAATTAGCTTTTATTTATGTAATTAGTTTTGTAAGTAGTCTATATTTAATACTCTAAATTAGTGTCTAAAGACAGGGACTAAAGTTAAGTCCCTGGATGTAAACACCACCTTTAATCTCTGGATTATATATCTACCAATCAATTATACATTATACCTATTGGACTGACTAATTTTTTACGTGAGGAAGTTGCAGTAGGCGAGTAGCTATTAGAAGTAATTGCTTCGTTTTTAACGTATAAAGTTGTTCGACATTTTACATGGTATTTTACTATTTGTTGTATTCAGAAAAATTATATAAATAGCTTTTTTTAAGTATGACATATATTGTATCATATTTACAATATTTTTGTAATAAAAAATATGTTCAAACGTTATTTAAAAGTTTATGGAATTATCTATGTAAGAACGTTAATACTACAGTACCATACATCATCGAGAAATGTATATTATACTTACTAGTTACTAGGCCACCTTATTATTCGATTCTCCGGTGGATGAGCATGGATCACTCGGTGGCTCTAGTAGACAAAGTTACCTAAAATGAAATTTCAAATTCTAAGTTTACTTGGTTAAATCAGTCAGCCAGTGGATACCGGCAAGTGACGTAATGACGTGCGTGTGCTCGTCGCAAGAAATAACTAAGCTTACGAACTTAATATATATACTGATTTTGAACGCTTGACTAAGAACTAGTCAAGTAATAAGCGAAGTGGTTATTTCAAGATAGTGGAAATATCTGGTTTAGTTCAATGAATGGCAAAAAAAAAAAAAACGACCACGCAACGAACTCTCTCCATTCCAGAATTACCTTTTCTCCATATACATCATCAGAAAATTATTACTATATTTTAGGATTTCTCTATATACATAATCAGAAATTAAAATTATTATATATTAGTACGGAGGCAGTAGCTCGGTATATACAGATATGGTCGGAAAATACATGTACAAATCTAATAGGATGAGAAAAAGAGAGATTGAAATTAAGACGAAAAAGAAAGAAACGTCAGATTGAACAATATTAGCCCACTGTACTAACTGAAGATCGATCAGACGCAGTTCTGAAACACAAACCCAACCGCCGACGCCGACGCCGGCTGATCGTTCACGAACGGCGGCATCGCCGGGTGCCACCACCACGCCGGTAACCTCGTCTTCTCCACGGCGACGCACCGCCCGCCGCCGGCGACCACCTCCGTCAGATGGCGCGCAGTACGGCCGCCGGACACCTGATCGGACGCCGCCGGCGCCGCAGGGACGGCATGGAGCGGCGTGAGCAGCGGGATTACCTCGGCGGCGGCGGCGACGGCGTCGTGGCAGTACTCCGACGCGGCGCTCCCGTCGCCGGCGCCGCCGGCTCGCACGTCGATGGATCCCGGCGCGAGGGCGCGCAGCCGCAGGCTCCCTTGCCTTCTGATCGGCTGCCTCGCCGCCGCCGGCTTGACGACATCCTCCGCTGCATCAACGACGCCGGCGACGTCCTCCATCAAGAATCACGGTCAATTCAAAGAAACCAATCACACACTCGCACACTGATGACTGATCTTGCTGGTTAATTGCAACAGCTTCTACTGAATATGCAATACATATATAGGTAGATGATTAATTATGCAGATAAAGCAGCCACGCAGACGCAGCAGTGTGTTGGTCGTTGGGTAGGTACGTGTCGACAGTCGACACAAATGGTCTCACAGGATGCTTGCAGTTGCTGCAGGTGGTGTCCAGACTTATCCAGTAGCTTTGACTTTGTTGACCAGCAGAGAGAAAACAAGCGGCGTGGCAGCAACCAGTGAGCAGTAACCAGTGGGCTCGATCAGGCTACGGTATTAACTAGATTCCACACCTACAATTATATGGTGTTTATATCTTAGAGGTAAAATTTTAGCTTGTTACATTGCTATGATATGGTATAAAATTTTAGTGTGAGATCTAAACATGCCCTTATATGTAGTAAAGTGTTAAGTTACAGCTATATGCAATACAAGAAATTTTCAGTTACAGCAGAATTTTTTTTCCTTCCCTGTTTCTGCACAACTTTTAGTTCAATCTCCGCACAAATTTTGGGTCAGCTTCAACAGAAATTTAGTTCAGTTACAGCAGAATTTTTTTTCCCTCTCTCAGCTCAAATTTTGGTTCAGATTCAGAAGAAATTCAGTTCAGTATCAGAAGAAAAATTTGGGGGGAAGGTTTATTTTCTGTATGTAATGGCATGATATATTCAGAACATGTTAACAAAAAGGTCTTCTTTTCTTCACTGCAAAGTTACGTATTTATACGCATGGATAGATAATACTCCGTCCGTTTCAAAATGTTTGATTCATTGTTAATTATTTATTCTTTTTATATCATTTGATTCATTGTTAAATATACTTTCATGTACCCATATAGTTTTACGTATTTCACAATTTTTTTATTAAGACAAACGGTCAAACATGTGCTAAAAAGTCAACGGTGTCAAACATTTTGAAACGGAGGGAGTAGTCTTTAATATATACTCCCTCTGTCCCATAATATAAGGGATTTTGAGTTTTTGATTGTAACGATTGACCACTCGTCTTATTCAAATTTTTTTGAAATTATTATTTATTTTATTTATGACTTATTTTATTATCTACAATACTTTAAGCACAATTTTACGTTTTTTATATTTGCAAAAAAAAATTTGAATAAGACGAGTGGTCAAACGTTACAATCAAAAACTCAAAATCCCTTATATTGTCAGACGGAGGGAGTACTACATTTACTTTTCTAAAGATAAAGTAAAAGATATGGAGCATGGAGACAGAGCAATTCGGTCTACGGTTTTGTTTGTGACTAATAAACTTACTTCTCAGGCCATGTTTATTTTACACCAAACTTCTTCAAAACTTTCAACTTTCCATCACATCGCATCACATCTAAAACTTTCCTACTCACATAAACTCTTAAATTTTTTTTTAAACTACCAACTTATCCCAAACTTCTTCCCAATATTAAAAACTAAACGCAGCCTGAACTAACCGATGAAACGTAACTGGAGACCGAGTGGTTGAGGAGCCAGGGGCTACGGCTGCGGGATGTGAGGCCGGCAATGGCGGCAGTGAACCACGGAACCGACGCCTCGCGCGCGGGGCCACCCTATGCATCAGCACCGAGAGGGAACCAGGTGGCCCCAGCGTCAGGACACGACAGTGGCGATGGCAGCACGTTCGCATCGCGCGGTGCTCCTCCACATCCCCATCCACCCCTCGTCCCGCCATTGCCTCGTCTCCTCTCTCCCGCCGCATCGAAGCAAGGCTCCACCGCCGGCGTCGCCCTGAAGAGAGATGAGAAAGAGAAGGGGGGCATATGTCATGTGTTTGCCTTTTTCTTGACTAGAATACCACATCAGCTAAAACAACCCTTAATATTATCATGGACCATGATTTAGACGGTTTGGTTAAGATTAGATGAACTCTTGTATTACGATTTAGGCTGTGTTCAGGACCCCTCCTTCCTAGCACGCAAAACGAAACTCGTATTATTGCATGATTAGTTAAGTATTAACTATTTTTTTTAAAAAAAATCGATTGATATGATTTTTTTAAAACAATTTTCATATACAAATATTTTATATAAATTACACTATTTAGCAGTTTAAAAAACGTGCACGCGGAAAACAAGAAAGGTGGGTTGGGAGGGGAGGGGGAGAACACAGCCTGTGTAAATGAAAGTGGACGTAAAGATGAAGACGTGACTCCCGCTCGAGCGTCCCATGGGAGGAGGTTAAAATCGGACACTGACGTCCGATTTACGTGTAAAACTATTTTAAACTGATTTATCTCTTAAATTACTTCAAATCATGATTCGATTGCACTATTAAATTCGTTGCAATTAAATCTTCAAAATAAGACCACACATGGATATATTCCGACGAAAAAAATTAGCTTATTATTGAATTATTTTTAAATGTTGCACGATGTTTCACCAAGCATATCGGAATTATTTCACTAAGTAGATCGAAAATGTTTCACTCGTTTAAATCGGGTGTTGTTTCACCTTATATAAAAACAATGTTTCAGCAAATAGCAAAAGAATGTTTCAGTTCACTGCAATATTGGATCTATACATAGTGAAACATTGTGAGTACACTAGGTGAAACATTTTTAGGTGAAACAAAAAATAAACCAAATTCCCTTACTAGGGGGTTCCAAAATATGTTGGTTTTTTTTGTTGCAATGGAATATTTCATTCACTGCAACATTAGATCTATACATAGTGAAACATTGTGAGTACACTAGGTGAAACATTTTTGGTGGAGCAAAAACTAAACGAAATTCTCTTAATAGAGAGTTTCCAAAATATGTGGGTTTTTTTGTTGCAAAAGAATATTTTAATTCACTGCAACATTATATCTATTTAAAATAGTAAAACATTATAAGTACACTAGCTGAAACATTTTTGTGAAAAAAGAGGAGAGATAAGTTGGTGGGCCCAACAGGTGCGCACATGTGGGGAGGGAAGCGACTGATTTTCCCACCTCCTCCGGTCGACCGATGTTGGGCATTCTCCTAAAGATGAGGGATGAGAAGTGAACTTGGGCCCTAGCCCATAGAGCCATTCGGCTCTAACATAAATAGATGGGCCAAGCCTCCATTTCCTCCTCTTCTTCTTCCCCCGCGACCGCCACCGTTGCAGCCTTCTCCCCTCTCCGCCCTCCTTCCGCCGCAAGCCACACGAATCAAGGTATGCGCGCTTCTCTTCCCCTCGCCCTCCTCCTCCTCCTCCGGTCGCCGCCGCCGCCGCTTCTTCCTCCGCGACGCGTGCGTGCTGGTCGAGGCGGGCGAGCGGATTCGAGAACACCGATCCGGATCACTTGGATTGGTTCGATGTTTCGTTCGATTTGTTGATTGATCAGGAGTGAACTGCCTGCTTGCTTGGGTTTGCGCTCCTCGACTGCTGCTTGATGTGGGGAATCGAATTGAGCCCGAATTGCTAGTGCTAATCCTTTAGTAGTTTAGTTGTTCTCTCCGGCTCAGTTAATTTTGTCGCCGATTTATTCGATCGCTGCGTGTTGATTGGAGTGCCTTAGTTACTGATCCAAAGCTTGTTTCCAACAGAAATTTGCTGGCCGCGCTTCCTCCGAGCTTTTGTTCCCTAATTTGCTTCATTTTTTGCGGATTTGTTCAATTGCTGCGTGTTGAAGTAACCAGTTATTCAGTTACTAATCCATGTTTATTTCCAACGAATAGTTGTTGCTAGAGTTCACAAACTCGCTTCTCTGTTATGCTAGCTGTTGATATGAAGGTCCTTAGATGGTACATTTCACCTTGGAAGATTTGATTGCCGAAAATTGATCTGGTTACAACATGTGGATTGTTTGATTGAACATGTCAAACCATTTTTGCTTATGAGGAACAGTTTTTGCTTGCTGATTTTGATAAATCGAGCATAAACTGTGTATATCTTCCTCTCGTTGTTAGCTACTTGCTGTGGAGCAGTAATGATCTTCCTCTGAACAACTTTTGGGTTGGTTTCAGTATTTCGTGTCCTGCTTAATTTCCTTGTATTTCTGTTTGTTAATTAGTAATGGCCAATTAGGCCAGAATCGACTAGCAACTGTGTGTACTTCTTTGTTGTGATATCTCCATGCAAGAGTCGTAAAAAAACCATCTGCACAGAGCAAGCTATTTATGCATACATAGTGTTTGCAACTGTAATCTGTACATACAAATTAAACTGGAAATGCTTAGAAGTATATCATCTTCCTAATATGATGATTGGAAATGCTTGCACAGGCTAATCTCTGCTCGAAGCATGTCAAACGATCAGCATCGGTCATGCCGTTGCGTCAAGTCGAACTGTGTCAAGCTGTATGCACACATACTTCGATGGATCTGAAATACATTCCATTAATTAGTTTATTGTGAAGTTTTGTTCTTACTGTGTAACGTCTATTTTCTGTACTGTGTTATATGCAGCTATTGCCCGTGTTTCAGCGCGTACGGCTATTGTTCACAGAACTGCCGTTGCACTAACTGTAAGAACAGAGAGTACTATGAGGACTTTGTGGAGGAGCGTGTGGACATGATCAAGATGAAAAATCCGAGAGCATTTGATCCCAAGATTGTTAGGGTTCAAGATGCAAGTGAGATTGAACCCCAGAGCTCTAATGCAGTGCCGGTAATGCATTCTTCTTTCTTGGAGCACCCCCAAATAATTAATCTTATGCTGTTTTGATTTCAAATTTTCAATAATGGTTTGTAGTGAGAACTCATGCACATAAAGTAAATTTCAGGAAAATGAGCATGGATGTATGCTAATGGGTGCAGATGCCAGAAGTCCAAGTGCCTCGTACATTCGTGTGAATGCCTCAAGGTGTGCATACCATACATATTTGTTTTGACTTACAACCTATATTTACTACTAGAAGTAATCATGCGCGTGCTAAGCATGTGTTTGCCAATATGATAAAACAACATATTGCAAGCACAATAATTTGTGTTTTTTTTAATTGCATTCATCACAGCAGTCAATTAACATTGAAAGGGGAACATTCCAGCAGTGTTCATAATACATAATAAATAATCAAATCTCTTTCTATGCAATTGGAGGTGATTTGACATTTGTTTTATTCTAGGAGTTTTATTTAGTTTCAATTAATTTATATTAAATTTGGATGTCCACATGATCGCGTTAACTAGAATAATACTTAAACTGATAATGTAGAATTTTTTATGCATAGATAAATAGAGATATGATTAATTATTCCAAACAACTTATGTTGAGAAGTTGAGATGTTTCATGTGACTAGCGTTTTGTGCATCCTACTATTAATGATCTGATCTTGTCCTGAATCTGATATGTGTGATTGCAAACAACATTGAAATGACTAAGTTATGAGCCCTACTCTTGAGAAAATGAAATCAAGTAGTATCTTGTGTCTGTTTAAGCCAGAGAGTAGAGGAATATTTGGGTGTGCCTCTGCACATCAGATTGAAAAAGATTTTTAAGTTCGCAAATGCAGTTGAGGGTGCGATACAAATAAAAATACCCAAGTATTATTACTTGGAATGATTAGATGATGATATGGCTGTTTTGTCTCTTACAGCACGAGGTGAGGTGCACTTCAAAATGCCAGTGTATAGATTGCGGTAACGGCCCCAGAACAAAGTGTGAGTATACTAGACTGTTATTTCTGTTTCCTTGTCTTATGACATCCAAGTGTGTAATCAATTGCTTTGGAATAGCTTGGAAGCATCGTATTTTGATTTTGTTCTTCACCCATGTCATTTTCTTTGTCTTGAATATATTTATCTGACTTACTTTATACAAAACAGATGATTCAAACATCGGAAAAGATCAGAGTGATGTTAGTGGCCTAACCTATGAAGAGCCCACGATGGACACCATGCAATCTGAGCACACTCTGAATCCAAACAAACGCCCAAAATATTTTGCAAGTTTTTGGCTCCTTCACACTTCGTTAACATAATTTACCAGTGTAGAATGTAAATGTAATTTCAAAGTGTTGGAAATTTTCAAAGGAAACACTGATGATCTGCTCTTTTATGCAGTGATATCTCTCGCAGATCGTGATGCTTTACCATCCTCAAGACAATAGCCACTTTCTTCCAAAAATGCAACTGTAAATACAAACAGGTTTGAGTATCCCTTGTAACGAAATCTTAAAGCACGGTGATCGGTGAGGCCTTGAACTCCATGATACTTCAAATCTTGTCGTCCATTTGGTAGTCTCAGTGGGTTCAGTTGACCTTGCGCTTGATCAAGAACTACGAAGACAGTTCCCACCTATAGCTAATATCATCCATACTGTTACCAAAGGGCCGGGGTGTATACATTTCATCCCAATATGGAATTAGTTGTTTTGGCATGCAAATGTTCCTGCTTCTTAATCTCTCATGTTCTTGGGGATATTTTGATCATGCCTGAATCTGTGAATCCTTCAGTGATGAGAGCACAAGTATTATGAGGTATGATGATGATTGCAAGTATAAGTAGCCTCGATTGTATTATTGACGCAGAGCATCGACTGATCTCTCATATTCCTGTAGGATTCAACCTCATCCACTGCAAGAACACACATAATTTAGAACAGAAACGGCACATGAATCAGTAGGAGTAATAGTTAGTGACTACTAGTAAGTATACTGTTCCTGAAGGGATGGTTACATGGATTAATAGCTTAATCTGATACCTCTTCCATGACATTGTAAGATATGCAGGGAGGCAGCTCTTCTTGCAGCCAATGTGTGAGCTCTCCATCTTGCTCCTCAGGATCCTAGAACAAACATTAGTCAAGGAAAAAGTAGTCTCAACAAGTGTTTTGGCAGAATAATAATCCTGCATTGGATATCGAAGTGTTTACAAAATTTTGAACGAATTTACACTAGAGAAGAGTTAAGGAGGCTTATTTGTAACTTATCGGAGGGAGGGCAGCATCAACTAACACAAACCGACCAGCCAGTGATATCCCTTTTTTCTGTTTTAGTAAAAGGATTAATTGTTTTGACACGAACACGTGAGATATCAATTCACCAATTTGTGATGATGCGGAACTAAGGGCCTGTTTGAAATAGCATATTAACAGTATGCAAAACGACGCTTCTTATTAGCATATAATTAATTAAGTGTTAACTACTATAGTTTAAATTACATAAAATGTACTGTTTAGCAGTTTAAAAAATATGCTAACTTAAAAAGATGAAGTTGTAATTTGGAGTCCAAGTTTAGAATTCAGCTTATAATTTGTTTATTTGTGGAGGTACCCCACTAGGCTACGTTTTGCAGATAAGGATCGGGAGAAAAAAAATATCTCGTTCTCTGTGCGCACGTTTCTCAAACAGCTAAACGATATAATTTTTTTTCTAAAAAAATCTATAAGAAAGTTGTTTTAAAAACTCATATGAATCCTTTCTCAAATTGAAAATAATCAATACTCAATTATTAGTTACCTCATTTTGCATATCTATCTTTGTTTACCTTTCCTCTCAAACAATAACAAGATAATCCTTCTGTGCCTTCCAAGCGGGCCGGGCCGGGTAAAAAGATTATTTGGGCCGCAGCCCACTCTGCCATTCGGCCCTAAAGTACATGGGCCACGCACGCCTCCATGTCCTCCTCTTCCTCGTGAGCGCGAGCGCCGATTGCCTTCTCCGGCCGCCTCTTCGTCTCCGCCGCATGCCGCCGCCGCCTCGGCTCCCTCAAGGTACGCGCGCTTCGCTCCCCCTCGCCCTCCTCATCCTCCCCCTCCTGCGCTCGACTGCTGTTTGATGTGGGGAATCGAATCGAGCCCAAATTGTTTAGTATTTTGGTGCTGATTTGTTCGATCGCTGCGTGTTGGAGTGCCTAGTTAGTTACGGATTCAAGTTTGTTTCGAGCAAAAATTTTGTTCGTTAGGGTTCCTTCCCGCGAGCTTTGCTTCCCTACTTCTCCCCAATCCTCGTTGTTACGGATTTTGTTCAGTCGCTGCGTGTTTATTTCCACCGAAGAAAGTTGCCGCTAGTGTTGTTCCTGGGCTTGATTCCCTGTTATATGCTACTACGAAGTAGTTGGCACGCGGGTCCTCGGGTTGTGCATTTTACCTAGGACGATTTCATTATCGAGAATTGATCTGGTACAAAGTTTGGGGGTGTTTGATTGCACATCGCAAATCATTTTGGATAGGGCAATCGATGCAAGGGCGCCAACAGGACAGCTAGAACTTGTGAGAAACAGTTTTTGCTTTTGATAAAAGTGGTAGAACAGACACTGCAGTAGTAATCTTCCTCTTAAAAACTTTTGGGTTGGTTTCAGTATTTTGGGATCTGCTTAATTTCCTTGTATTTCTGTTTATTAATCCTATGCTATTTTAATTTCAATAATGGTTTGTAGTGGCTTGAGAACTAATGCACATTGAGGAAATTTCCGGGAGATGAGCAATGGATGTATGCCAAAGGGTGCACAGGTGCAGGAAGTCCAAGCGCCTGGAACTTGTGTGTCAGTGTGTGAATGCCTCAAGGTGTGCATACTGCATATCTATTGACATACAACCTATAATTACTATTATTAGTAATCATTGCATGTACAAAGCATGTCATGGTCAATATGATCAAACAATATATTGTAAGCACAAGAATTAATGTTTCTTAGAATTGCTTTGTTAGTAATCATGCATGTGCAAAGCATGCCATGGTCAATAATATCAAAAAATATATTGCATGGACAAGAATTCACGTTTCTTTGAATTGCATTATTAGAGCATCTCCAACAATCTCTCTAAATCCCACTCTCCAAATATCTATTTTGCCAACTCTATCTAATTTAGCTAGTCAAACAGTCTTTTACTCCAACAGCCTTCCCATTCATCCTCTCTATTCTGAGTCTATGACAGTAGGGCCCACATGTCAGTCTCTACCACTTTCTTCTTCCTCCCCTTCTCTCCAAATCCCCTTCCCTCTCCCCTCTGTTACCGCCGCCCCATCCCTATTCGCCCATCGCCAATGCTCGGGCTCCGTCTGCCGGTGCCCTTCTAGCCGAGCTCTCACCGGCCGCCTCGTCTCCCTCAACCTCGCCGTCGAGCAACGCCGCCACCGCCACTCCCTCCCATCTCCAACCCACCCGGCGGATGAGGCGGCGGCAGGTCTCCGGCGTGCGCGGTAACGACGCTCTAGCGCGAGTCGACGGCCGGCGGGGCGGCGGCCGCGGGCCTTCCTGCTCCCTTGTGCGGCGAGACAGGTAGCGGCCGTGGGTTTCCGGCACGACGAAGACAGGCGGCGGTCGCGGGGGTCCTGACGCGGCGAAGGCAGGCGGCGGCCGCAGGGTTCCGACATGGTGAAGGTAGGTGGCGGCGGCGGGGCTCCCGGCGCAGCGAGTCAAGCGGCAGCTAGGCTTCCGGCGCGGCAAGGTAAGCAGTGGCCCGGGCCTTCTGGCGCCTTGCCAGCCTTCCTCGTTCCTCCCTCGCCGTCGAGCCGCCCCGTCGCCCTCGTCATGCCGCCGATGGCCGACGCCGAAGAAGGACTCATGCGTCGTCAAGCCGCCCCGTCGACGACAGCAACGGCAACCTCGGGGACGACGGCAGTGGATGGCGATGACTGGCGACAGCGGCTGGCGACCTCGACGATGATGGTGGCGCTTCGGCGTGGGTTCAAGATGCACGGCGCCTGCGTCGGTGGCAGCGTCGAGGTCGTGGCTGCCTGCGCCATTGTAGAGAAGAGCCGAAGGAGATGGGGGGGGGGGGGGGGAATCTGTGTGGGTCTCATGGTTGGCCAGTGATTTTTGGGCTGGCCAAATTTGGCTAGTGGAGGGGGGTTTTGGGCAGCCGCGGATGGCTGCTTAGCCATCCGGTTGGAGAGGCTGTTGGAGCTTTTTTTTTTTTTTTTTTTTACTAGAATGGCTAAAATTTGGCTTGGAGAGTGGGATGGAGAGACTGTTGGAGATGCTCTTACAGCAGTCAAATAACATTGAAGGTACAACGTACTCTCTGAATATTTCAGTTGCTTTCATTGTATAAACAATAATTAACTAAATCTCTTCGTACGCAATGGGAGAACATTATCACACTGATGTTCCTGCTGCAAAACAAAGAGACATAACATTTTAGTCTTCTAGTAAACCAGAAGGACCAGAAACGGAAAAAAAAAGAATTCAGTTTATTAGTTTAGAAATTCGAACTCTGATAGAATGATATTTTCTAATTCATGAAATCCAAAAAAATGTACTTGACATACAAGTCAAGATTCTTGATTTTTGAAGGGGTGATACCTGTTCTGGAACGAAGGGGGAAAAAGGGATTCATTATGGCAACAGCCCACATAACTTATTTCTAGATTCTGTTATTTTTCATTCCTCTTCATTAGGTATATATGATGATATGGCTGTTTTTTTGTCTTACAACACAAGGTGAGATGCACTGCAAAATGCCGGTGTATAGAATGCAGAAACGGCCCTGGAATAAAGAGTGAGTACTGTAAGCTGTTATTTTTGTTTCCTCGTCTCATCACATCATAAGTGTGTAGTGTGTACTCAATTGATTTTGGAGTAACTTGGGAAGGACCCCATTTTGTTCTTCACCCATGTCATTTGTTTTATCTTGCCTATATTTATCTGACCTGACAAAACAGGTGATTCAAACACTGAAACAGATCATTGTGATGCTAGTGGCCTAACCTATGAAGAATCTATCGTGGAAAACACCACACAATATGAGGGGACTTCGAATCGAAACAAACGCCCAAGAAATTTTGTAAGTTCTCTACTCTTTTACACTTCACTTACATAGTTTGCCAGTAGAAACTGTAAATGTAATCAATAACTGCATTGCGTTAAAAAAATTATAACATGTTCAAACAAAACACTGATGGTCTGCTCTTCTGTGCAGTGATAACAACCTTCAGATCGTGTTACCTTACCATCCTCAACCTCAAGACAATAGCCACTTTCTGCCAAAAATGCAACTGTAAACACAATCATCCCTTGCAAAATCTCAAAGCACGGTAAGGCCTTCATACTCCATGACCCTTCAAACCTTTGCGAAATCTCAAAGCATGGTAAGACCTTCATACTCCATGGCCCTTCAAACCTTGTCACCCACTCGATAGTCTCAGTGGGTTCAGTTGACGTTGCACCTGATCAAAAACTATGGGGACAGTTGTCACCTTCGGTTAGTATCAACCATACTTTTGCCGAAGAGGTATATAAACATTTCACTCATATATGAAATGCTTTTTTTTGTCATGCAAAGGTTATATTCTTGGGTATCCAGAATCTTTGAATTCTTCAGTGATGAGAGAGCACAAGTAGTATGAAGTATAAACATGATTGCAAGTACAAGTAGCCTCAACAGCATTATTTTTAGGGAAAGTATCAAACAAGTACTAGGTCACATATGCCCACTTCTTACAAGTAGCAGAGCACAATACTAGAAGTACACTAGCACAACGACAGCAAAAGCCACCATTAAGGTGAGCATGTTGTATTACAAGCTACCAAGCCAACATTCACCTCTACATAGTAAAACACTCTTCCATGTACTGTTGCGACTTCCATTAGCGTGATCTGTCGAGGCCAAGCCTTGAGCTGAGCCATTTGCCGACATCGTCCATCTCTTCAGGGATGGTATAGTGGCCTAGCCTGCATCATCATATAACTTGTTAATACTGCTATAATTTTGGGAGAGTAAAAAAGGTGTTTTGTAATGTGTTATGTATGCATATGCATTTGTACCCATTGTAGGATTTGAAATTCAGATACAAGAACCCCGAGTTACGCAGAGTGTCGACTGATCTCTCAGCATTCCTGTAGGATACAACCTCATCCACTGCAAGAACATACAGAATTTAGAACAGACTGATGCATTGACTAGGAGTAATAATTAACTAGTAAATTATACTGTTTCTGGAGGGAAGGCTTTTCATGGATCAACAGCTTAATGTGTTACCTCTTCCATGACTTAGTAAGATAGGCAAGGAGGAAGCTCTTCTTGCAGCCATGTGTGAGCTCTCCGTCTTGCTCCTCAGGGTCCTAGAACAAACATTGGAGTCATGAAAAAGTAGAGACAACGTGTTTGGATTAATATTTCTGCATTATTGGATATCAAAGTGGCACCTGGAGCAAGGGAGCCAGCCACTCAAGCTGATGACCGCACTGAGTGTGATTGGATATGGCATGCTATTCGCGAATTTGCCGTGAGCGTAGCACGCTGCGGAGTGGAGGGCAGCAGCTGCACCCATGCTGAAACCGCCGATCCCAAGCTTCACTGCACTCGCAAAATATGAAAATCAATGGAAGGAATGATCACCAGCTTCTGTATCTGAAGAACATTATCTTACTTGGTGCTAATTCGGTACAAATAAGGATCACTTTAAAAAGAAAAGGAAGAAAAACCAATTAATAGGATGGTAATATATCTTGGTAGCTGCACTTAGGAGTAACATGGGTGATTAGATTGAAGTGGTACTGGAACTAGTACCGTCAGGTGGCTCTGACGACAACAGGTTTGCAATATGTGCAGCTGAAGCATCCAGTCCTTCAATGTCATCACGGCCATCCACTGAAATGTCCTCCACATCAAACCCTATTTCAGTTCCATAGAAACGTTAACCAATCAGATTTCAGACTTAAGAGTAATGGTAATGCCTCCTAAGTTTGCAGATTTTAGAGAGATGGTAGCATAGTGATGATGAAGAAGAAGCTCACACGCAGTGCAAGGGAATCCGCCGAATGCCGTGACAGGCCGGGTTGCTGCAGTTGGGCAAATCCACTTGATCTACATGACATAAGCTTTAAGGTGAATAAACTATTTTGCAGTAAGAATCGTTTCTAGTTGCTGCTGAACATGATAAGCTACAGTGATCTGGAGACAGTTACAGGCTTACAGCTGTTGAAAGAGACCGTTGTGTATCACTAGTGGAATAAGGAAAATGTATATGTCATGTCTATCTACATCTATCATCTGTGTATGCGTGTCTGAAGTACAAAGTATCGATGCTTACATTTGGCAATGAAAGAGAATCCAGGAGCTGGGACCAGCTGAAAAGTTCAGAATGAACAAAACAGAGAAAAGGGAAACATATCAGTGCACTATATCAGGAAAAGCATTGCAGCTGCAAGCAACTAGTAAAGATATTCTGTTCCAGATTCTCTGAAATTTATGGATTAACACATCATATATATGTATAAACAGAAAACGTCGGCTAAAAGTATCCAAGAGAAAAGAGAATAGGGGAGAGTGGAGATAGGAACATCTGGAACTGCAAATTGGAATATATATAAGATCAAACAGAAGAGGAAACAGAACAGTAGTGAACAACTTTTTTTTTTCAACAAGTTGAGCAAGTTGCCTGAATTTCATAGCTTATCTGAAGGGAATAAACGATTAGCTTCCTTTCAAAGAAGATAATAATAATGTGTAAGTAGACCAGTTGTTGATCTTTTCAGTTACTGGAGATAAAGGGGACTAAGTGGAAAAAGAATGAGCAATGGGTATCTGCAGCTGAGGACTGAGGGCTGAGGTTAACTTGGTAAATGCATGGTACCAAACGAAAACGACACTCAGCTAGTTACTTTTCATTTTGTTTGCACCCGGAGCCAGTACTTACCATTAAAAAAACTCTACTCCCTCCACCCCAAAATATAAGAATCTAGGACTAGATGAGACATTTTCTAGTATTACGAATCCGGACAGGCTACCTGTCCGGATTCGTAGTACTAGGAGATGTCCCATCCGATCTTAGGTTCTTATATTTTGGGATGGAGGGAGTAATTTTTAATCGAGTGATACTTCAATTTAGTGATTTATCATAAATATGGTGTTCTTTACATGCTTTGTGCAGACCTTGGGACAGGAAATTAGGCATCTTTCATGAGCGACCTACTTTTATGCAATATTCATATACCATTAGCCCACATCAATTAGAAGTACTTGACATTCCTCTCCACTTCTGGATGGAAAGTGAGAGCATTATCTATGTCCTTGGTGGCGCAGAAGGATATTAGGTGTGTTGTGTGAAGAAGGACAAGGAAAACATTTACTTTGGGTAAAGCAATACTAGGAATATATGCATGCTTGGACACACAAAAAGGAGGGCACTTCAATCATTTCTAGCAGAAAGAAACAAGGGAATAAAGTGTTTGTATCCACAATTACCATGATCTAGCTCTCCTCCTAGCTTGCTTTCCAAGTATAGTTTATTTGTTATTCTTTTGCATTTGCAGAAGATAGCATTGCTCTTTTTTTTTTCAGGAACGCGCAAAAGGTAGAAGGTACCATGCTTGAAGGAGCATGAGTAAACAAGCAAAGTTTGGAACGAAGAGGCAGTGGCTGTATATCAAGCTAGCCACTATATAATACCTTGCACCATTGTCACCTAGACCATGGAGCCACACAATGGTGGCTTGGTGCCTTCCCTTTGGCCTCACTATATAGGTCCTCCCATACTCGACTCTCCGACTGCCCCATCCACCTGAATCAAAAATCACATCATGCTCAGCATTGTTCTTTGGCACCTGTGGTTATCATGAGGACTTGAGGTTAGAATGGAGTAGTCAGATTACCAGAAGAGCTGCTTCCATAATAGCTCATGATGTTTTCTGCACCAAGTGCTCTGTTTACTGATGCTGCTAAGGTATAGAACTAGTTGTGTATGCACTGAATTTATCGAAGAGTATGAAGTGCACAACCCCAGTTGGTCTGTATTTATAGTGAAGCTCTGAAGAGGGAATATATGTCGGACAATCCCTTGAATCTGCATCGCAGGACAGTGCGGCTTTTCGCACTGTGCTCGCTGCAAGCTGTCATGGGATGAGCATCTTGAGTCTGGAATGCTCAAGGGATGGGCAGGATAAAAAGGATTTGAGGCATTTTTCTCTGGAGCTAAGAATCCTATGCAATGCTGACAAACCTTGCACACAGAGATACACACATGGTGACAGATGCCTAAAGTTCCCATGCAAGCAAACTAAGGCGATCGATTTATATTGCACACAGATTTATCATGATGCATCTTTGGCAGTGGAGAGGGAACCATAATATATAAATGTTGTTTCCTGTCTTTTTTAATCTCATTTTGTGTCCACCAAGCATTTCTATGCTTATTGCATGGAGTACTAATGCCCACTGCCTTCTGCCCACAAATTGGTGCAACTCCGTATGGGACAACCTTAGATAAAATGCAAGGAATAATCATAAACAAACTTATTGTCCGGCCATTGAGCTTTTCTTTTGACATCTAGTTTCCAGTTACTGCTAGATGGAACTGATAAGTTATTGCTAGAGGTATCGTGCATAAATCCGTGGACTTTCAGAAAGACAGAAAACTTATTCCAATGGAGGAAATTCGACGCGGAAGAAAAAGCAGAAAGAATTGTTTTTTGGGAATACATAGAAGAATTGTGCATCGTTGCACTAAGATTAGGAGAAAGCAAAGCAGGAAGAATTATATACCACAACTTGTGTCGGTATACCATCACAATTACATCGATAGAAATATCTATCAGGTGTCGACACCAAATCAACATGGATATGGGAACCAAATCAGGTAGAAATGAAAGTCCACTTGCAGGTTGCAGCATGAACGTGGTGCACTCTTCATGAAGGTACAGATACTAACTTGCAACAAATGTTCTTACCGTGTTGCTGCTACAGTTAAATCAACTGCTAAATGCAAACCCTTGAATTAGTCTAGGCGCTTATTAGGAACACCATCTGATTCTTTTTCTTTTGTAAAAAAGGAAATACTCCCCACATCAATAAGAAGAGTACAGTGGTGAAATACAAATCAGAAATGTTCCTGATTTTGTGTAAAAAGAAATTGTCTCAGCCATGATACAATATTTCCTAGTGAAATTGGTCCTGTTTACATGTTTAGCTATGTGAATGAATGCTACTAAACCAGTATGGAAACTATAATCTTTTTTTTCCTCATTTGAGGTGAGTGTGCTTTTCTCTAGGTTTACTTGCCAATAAAGGCGGGTACCTTTGCCAGTATGCTTGATGCTTTTGTAATATGGAGCACAGTTGATACCTTCTCAACAATACAAAATAAAGATGGGGGTAGAGAAAATCAAAAGTCAACTAAAACTGACCTCTAATGAAAAACGTTTGCATCTCTTTTTTATTTAAGAAAAAGGTTTGCCTCTGGGGTTCTACTGTGATAGCCCCACTACAAACAGTAAGAACCATATGCCATTCTCCTTTTTGTTTTTTAATGATTGGGATGGGTAATGTGGGGGGCAGCTCAAGCCAAAATATGTGATGTATATGTCATTCTTGTCTCTATCTTAGCTAGCATCAGAGGTTTGAGGCTGCAGCAAGCTAGATGAATCTATTTCATCAGATTGGGTCATTAGCCACCTGATCTTGCTTTCTCAACTGCAAATTATAGGCCTATGATTGTGTTGTGCCCTAGTACTAGGAGCCTGCACATTCCTTCCTATGCTTATAGTCCATTTCTTTATTGCACATGCTTATATGAAGAGCAATGTTTTATGTAAAGTCAGAAAAAAATATTCTCAAAAAGGCCATGCACAAAATATGGGATTTGTTGTTACTAAAAAAGGCATACAGTTAAGGAAGATATGAGAACAGGAAAGGATATATTGTGCTTTACGTGTTCTCCATTTCATTCATGCTTAACTGAGTTTACATAATCGGTATGCTCACTCCTGTACTACTGCTGTTAAGAGGAGGATACAGATGGCAGTAGCCAAGAATTCTTGTGACTACAGTTCCTTGCGATCGGGTTTCTTATTGCAGATTCAGTTAGGTAGGATCTCCTGATTCAGCACCCACTAAGGTCAATTCACTGAACAAAGCAGGCAAATATTATTCACTGTAATAAGAAGTCCACATCAACGCTTAACAGAAGTCAACTTACAGGATGCTAAGAGGGAATGTTCCTACATGAAAGATCGCGGCTGCCATTAGGTGAGGAATTAATGCCTTTTAAAGTACTGGGTCATTCTGTATGCTTCTAACTGCCTTGCTTTGATCTCTGCTGAAATTATTTGGTAAAATCTCATCCTCTCATTTCTATTTCATACTTTTTTTGAGATAACATTTTCTATCTCATACCACTGATGGTTCAAGTAATAATATATTTTCTTAATTTTTAGGTGTGATTTTCCATGTACATGTTATTCTCCCATGCTCTTTTAACCTTTTAGACTTCTGAAAAGTACTTTGGAAGAGAGAAAAGGTTAAAAAAAAAGCAAAACTGATGTTACCATCACCAACTCACCATAGTGTAGAATTAATCCCTTTGTCAACCTTAGGCAATCCAAAACAAAAGGGGATATTGTTTGGTTGTTGGTTTGAATTTTGAGATAGAGCATATATAATCCATGTCCTATGGGCTAGAGAATCAAAGACTTGATATTGCAACCTTTTCACAATAACTAGTGAATGAAGTCGCACGTTCGCGCGACAATAACCTTCCTATCTATTAATCGTTATTGTAATTAACAATAAAATTTCCACCATTCAGTTAAATCAATAATTAGATGTTAATTTTCTAAAATTATTTAATTAGTCATCTAGTCTAAGGACCGTTTGGGTTGATTGGCCAAGCCAAGCCTGTTTGGGAGGCCAACATGAGATTACAATGAGAGGCAATGAGTGGCTCAAACTCTTCCTTCTCTATGTATTTTACCACTTCTAGAAGATTCCTCATTTCAATGGCTAGGATTTTTCCTTGCTATTTTATCATTTTGTGAATCCAACGGCTATTATTTGACGGATGATGTGGCTAATTCTGGTTGCTTTTTGAGTTTTACTTTTCACTTAGATAGATAGATATGATCATCCATAGGTTAAAATAGAAATTTCCTTCATGGATTGCTTACTATTCTGTTTTTTTATGGTGCTAACCACAATGCTATGTTCTCATCAGGAAAATGAAAAGAGAAAGAGGCTGAACGTAATCTGAGTTACTGACTTACCAAGTGGAGAATCTTCCAGGACGAAGCCGTGCAGGAAGCCCAACTCGCAATTTTAATCCGATGCAGTCTGGTGCACTTTGAGTTGGTAAACAGTTAATCATCATCAGGGATAATCTTGTCTTGCTTGTTGTTTGCCACTTTTGTCGGATGTACTACAGTAGCTTCTTGGTTTATTTTGTTTTCTTGAATACATGGAGATCTGCATATTTTAATACTAATAAGAAGAAAACAATGAGGAAAAGAACCATGTACAACACACGCTAAGTTCCAAGAACCATGCGTTTATTTTTTCTTCTGTTACACAACATTTCTAGCTTGCACTTCGATATGGAATCGTAAGAATGGAAGAGAAACAAAGAATTCAGTTTATTATTTTCACTTCTTTCTTAATTCTATATGAATACTATAGATTCTATTAATACATGGATTGAAAGATTACACCTAGAAATCTCTCAACCATTTCCCTCATAATAGAAAGGGCAGAACTCCAGCCATTCTTTTTCAAAACAGAAATTACCAACTTACCATATAGTTTCATGACTATAATATGCAAAACATCACTTTCGGCATCAGAAGCAATTCTGTTCCCTGGTGCGTGCGTTGCACCTGTAAAAGAATAGAATATTTATGATTGAAGCAATTGCTTTCTATCGTTGTTCTGTTTAAAGGAATGTGCATATATGATTTGCAGCTTCAGCATCCAAAACAAGTTAATCTACCATGTGATCATCTTAGGCTCTATTTAGATCTCCTGGCAAAAATTTTCACCCTGTTACATCGAATGTTTGGACACATATATAGAGTATTAAATATAAATGAAAAAATAACTAATTATACAGATTGCGTGTAAATTGCGAGACGAATCTTTTAAGCCTAATTGCTCCATGATATGACAATGTGGTGCTACAGTAAATATTTGCTAATGACGGATTAATTAGGCTTAATAAATTCGTCTCACAGTTTACAGACGGATTCTGTAATTTGTTTTGTTATTAGTCTATGTTTAATACTTCAAATATGTATCCGTATATCCGATGTGACACGTCAAAACTTTACAACCCTATATCTAAACAGAGCCTTATTGTTCTCACATGACTTGTCTTAGAAGCAAGCTTGCATGTTAATTTAATCACTTCCTGTTTGAAGGAAACTGTGAGCAGGCATAAAAGCGAAGATGGGATATATGGAATTTATCACATCATTCAATCAACATATGGGTGCTCTAGAAAACGTGATTACTAGACGAGAGTTTATGTATTCATTACTTGTTTTTTCGGTTGAAGTTTTTAATTTGAGCTTACATCATCATCCCAACATATGTCTAAAAGACAAACTATTTAGGTTGGCTACATAAAACAAGTGTACTAAAAGATTGTTTCTGATGAGGACACGATTAGCTCGGATATAACCATGACTACCTTATGTATTAATCAATCAAAAGTGCATATAATCTATATTAGATTTACTTGTTATATATTTGAATAAACGTTGCTACATAATGAGTTTTGTGTGTTTTCGTTTGCAGAGGTACTTGTTTGGGCGAAAGAAAAGAGACCGAGTGTAAGGAATGCATAGATGATTGAAGAAGTTTTACACGTTTTGGATTCGGATTCGGGCCTTCTGACAGCATCAACTTCAAATGGACCTAGCCGCTGATCTAGAAGAAATTTCAGGGCCCATAAGTACTTATTGGAAAGCTTATGGAGTCTACTTTCAGATGATTTTGGTCCCACGTCAAAATTCCTACCAAGCTGCCAGGAATCTGCAAAACAAGCCACGTATCTCATCTCCAGTCCGAATCTGATTTGGGTTTTGGGCCTTGTAATTGTGTCGTGGGCTTAGCCCAAGGGGGTGTGCATCCTAGGGCAACCCTAGGATGTCCCTAATCATACTTAATCAGTAGCCGTCATCGCCTAGGACATCCCTAATCATACTTAATCAGTAGTCGTCATCGTTTAAAGTAGGGTTTTGCTTAGATTAATCTGTCAAGAACAGTTTCGCCGCTAGATCGGTTTGTAGAAGCCCAAATTAGAGTGCTTAATTATTCATATGCAATTGTGTTGCAATCTATCTTGTTCTTGCTTGTGTTCTTCGATTCGCATGTAGGGAACCTTCTCGGCGAGGCCAACCAGGTTTCGGCACGGTTGATAACCAGAGGAGACGTGGTGCTGCGATTGCAGGGCTCAGTAGCGTGTTCGTTCAGAAACCGGATCGAGTTGTGTCGCGACTCCGCCCAAATCGACTGTTTATTAGTACCTATCGGAAGATCAGGACATAACACCCTCATTAGTTTCCATAGTACTAGAAATGTATGTTTTACACTAATACAATTTTTGGGTAAATTTTATAATACTACAAATACTTTGCCTAAACTATAGCAAAACTACATAGTTAAGTTAAGTTAGTGTATCAAAAACTACAAATATCATGAAACTAAATATTGATGCATCTAAGCTATCATAGAACTATAGATTTTAGAGTCACCCCTAGCAAGAATTATTTCAAGATTTTGGTAAAATTTATGCTAAATCTGTAATTTTGCGATACTATGCTTCAAATATGTAGTTCCATGATAAATTTGGTGCTAAATATATAATTTTATTATACATTGTCTTAAATCTATCATTTAGTTATAGTTTAGTTAAAATATCTATAGTTTTGTGAAATTCACTCCATTCAATAACCAAATGATACTTGGGAGACCATAAAAACGAATAATATCAAGTACAAAAGAGTATCCACCCAAATCTAAGATGTTGGAAAACATGCTCATAGTTGAAAAAGTAAAAGAATCAGACCATTATCTCTAAGATGTGGCCTATAAGCTTAGAGTTACTAGCATGTAAAATGTCAAGTGCATAGCTTGAAGGAAGAGGCAGCTCCAATAGGATGTCCAATAGTCACTCTTGAAAATGTGGTGCCTGATTCATCTTGCACATAGACAAAAATACAATGGAAATAACTGCATCATAATTTTCTTCTCTCTAGGGCCGTGTTCTTTTTAGCTACTTTGCCAGGTTATTCCTATGGATCATTTGCTCCATGCCTCTAAAGGTATTTTTGTAAAGAAAAAAAATATTTCTACCGCATTATATAGACCACTTGTTCTAAGATATTTGTCAAGTTTATTTTTTTAAAATATTTAATTTATCCATGTAATCAAGTAGATAATCCATACTAATAATAAATTAAATAATCTATTTTAAGTAGGGCCTTAGTACATTTAACGCTCATAAGCAGAGAATATAAAGCAAACTTAGATTTTACTAGGGATAATAAAAAATAAAATACAAAATAAACTGTACATTTATAAGCAAGAAAATGTATATTTTCTGTTCTTAAACTATTGACCTGAGTTAATTAGTTTTCATTTCTCACCTACAAAACAAAGTAAACCCCATCCATAAATTCTCAAATCATGTAAAACTCGTACTTTATGAATTTGATCATTGTTTTGATCCATATATATATGGTGATGCTAAACCTGTCATACGAATGGTACAGCCATATGAATATATGAATATATGATAATTATCATATGAATATATGATAATTTGTGTAATATATAATGGAGAATGATTGTCCATAGATGAGAAAGCTTGTTCTCTACGACAAGCAGGTTATACGCCCTATGTAGTTCAAAATATCAATCAAATTGGTCGATTTATTTGGTTGGAAAATGATACAAGTACAAACAAATTCTTACAAAATTTTTTAAAAAACTGATGTGGTACACTATGATTGCATCTTGACTTGAATAAATCAAATGGCTAAGATCTTTGTTTGGTAAAAGTTTTATAAGAATTTTTTAGTACGTGCAGTATTAATCTATCTCATTGTACTATAGTTGATGGATGGGTTTTACCAGGTTGTAATTGAAGGACAATACTACCGACTAGGGTGCGTTTTAAAGCTTGTTTATCATGTTTATCGTTTAAAGCTTGTTTTTCGAAAAAAAAAGAAAAAAAAACTAACTAGCCAGGACCAGCGATAGATGGGCCTCCCTCTAAATGGGCCCAGAAAGCCCACTAATCCCATCGCATTCGCCATTTCGCCTCCACTGTGGCGGAAATATCTCCTCCGCTTAAACCCCCACATCGCCCTAGCCGCCGCCTTCCCCTTCCTACCTCGCCGCCGCCGCCACCGCCGCCGCCATGGCCGCCGCCGCCGCCGCCATCCGCCGCCCGCTCCTCCGCTCCGTCGCCTTCTCCTCCTCCAGGTCCCGCTCCCTCCTCCACCTCCTCTCCCGCCCCCTCTCCTACTCCTACCCCCCTTCCGCCTCCCCCAACCATCTCCACCACCCCCACCAGCAGCAGTGGCAGCCATCGCTCCGCTCCGCCTCCGCCGCCGAAGGACCTCCTCCCCAGTGGTCTCCTCCCGGAAACTACCACCAGCAGCAGGCCCCTCCCCCTGCGCGCCACTACTACGGCCCCCCGCAGCATCAGCCTCGCTACAACTACGGCCCTCCGCAGCCACAGGCGCCGCCGCCGCCGCGCAACGACTACGGGCCACCGCCGCCGCCGCCGCAGCAGCAGCAGCAGCAGCGGGAGGCTGTGGTGGGGCCAGGGGAGCTGATCGGGCTCGGACGGGAGGGGCGAGTCAAGGAGGCGGTGGAGAAGCTCGACAATGGGGCGCGCGCCGACCCGCAGTGCCTTCTACGAGCTCGCCGCGGCTTGCTCCAACCCCAAGCTGCTCGAGGAGCTCAGGAAGATCCACGACTTCTTCCTCCGCTCGCCCTTCCGCGCCGACCTCCAGGTCAACAACAAGATGCTCGAGATGTACGCCAAGTGCGCCGCCATGAACCACGCCCGCAGGACGTTCGACCATATGCCTGACCGGAACATGGACTCCTGGCACATCATGATCGATGGCTACGCGGTGAACGGGCTCGGGGACGTTGCGCTGCAGCTGTTCGAGGAGATGAAGACCAAGTATGGAATTGCACCGACCGCCCACACTTTCACGCTCGTGCTCAATGCCTGTGCCAACTCGGAGGCCATTGAGGAGGCATTCCTGTACTTTGATGCCATGTCCAGGGATCATGGCATTGAGCCTGGTGTGGAGCACTATGTTGGGATCATTGAGGTTTTGGGGAAGTCGGGGCATCTCAACGAGGCTGTGGAGTACATCGAGAAGCTTCCGTTTGAGCCCACTGACACGGTGTGGGAATCGCTCTTGAACCTTGCGCGCATGAATGGAGACATTGACCTTGAGGATAGGGCAGAGGAGTTGCTGGTCTCGCTCGATCCAACCAAAGTTAATCCTAAGAAGCTCCCTACTCCACCTCCGAAGAGGCGCCTTGGGATTAATATGCTTGATGGGAGGAACAAGCTGGTAGAGTACAGGTTGCCGCCCAAGATCGAAAAGAAGGTGGTGAACGAACAGCGGTATGTCCCAGACACAAGGTATGTTCTCCATGACATTGATCAGGAGGCAAAGGAGCAGGCACTGCTGTACCATAGTGAGAGGCTAGCGATTGCCTATGGTTTGATTAGCACCCCAGCAAGGACTCCACTTCGCATCATTAAGAACCTCAGGATCTGTGGAGACTGCCACAATGCTATCAAGATCATGTCGAGGATTGTAGGGAGAGAGCTTATCGTAAGAGATAATAAGCGCTTCCACCATTTCAAGGATGGGAAGTGCTCTTGTGGTGATTATTGGTGAACATGGCTTTTGTTCAGCTGAATACAATGGTCTGAAATTGCCAATACGATGTATTGAGCACTTCTTTTTTCTTATTATTAGGATTGCAGCCATCCTATATGAATATATGCTGGCAGCCATGCTTTTAGCGCATAAACAATATCCAGTTATCTGATGGTAGTGTTAGTACTCCTGTTATCCATCTCATTATGATCATGAAGATGAATGTGATGCTTTTATTCTTGATGGCCTATTTTTTTTCAGAGCTTTTGATGAGGTTTCTTACTAACATGTTAGTCCTATTTTGGGGAAATGTTTACATTGCATTGATGATAAGAGAGGTTTCCTGCAATTTCATAAAGAGTATGTGTTGTTGGATATTGGTGTATTATGCTGTACGCTAATTTAAATCTTTGAAGATATCTCTTAAATTTCCTTTCAATACAGATATAGGAAACATATGGAATTACTAGCCTAGAGCCTGTGCGTTGCAACGGAAAACAATTTGAGTTTCTATCTTGTTAAATTAATCAATAAACACTTATTTAGTCCAGGTAATACTATGATTTTCCTTATTAAACAAGTAGGCGATTTTGAAATTTGGGAAGAGCCAATAGTGAAACGGGAGAGGACTCATTGAAAAGATGGTGTAACAGTATAGATTGTGGGGCCAACATTTCAGTGGTAAGGGTGGTGTGGGAATCGGCACCACCACTACTAACATTTGAAGTAGCATAGAATAGTTTATTTTATTGTTAACTGTTGTCCTTTGTTCTTAATCTTGCTTTTCATCTTCCTTGACTAATCAAACCGGATGTGTTTTACTGGACATGTTGCAAATGTGTGTTCTATTCATCCACAAGGACTGCAATTATAAATTTATTTTTCGTCAATTTGTTCTCAAATAGTTCTTTTTACATTTCTTTTGCTATTCCTTTTGATTTTGCTATATGAGGATTATTTTGTTGCGACTCTTTATTGATCTTACACATCTGAATTCAAAATGTTATTTATTTTCCATATTGAACTGTTCTTCTATCACTCTTCAGCTTATGGATCATAATGTCCTGTCAATTTTATCAAATTCTTCCATCATGAATTCATATGATTCATTGGCCATTGAACCCCTTATTGCAAATCTTCTTGATAGAATATTAAATCTGATTGATTCTGGTATGGCTCCATCAAAAAATTTCACCTGTGATTTCTTGTCTCTCCATCCATCTTATATAACTTTTCATGTGTCTTGTTATGTCGAGGTCCAGGAGAAGTTCCAGATTGTGGGGACATAGAATTCTGTGTTTCTAGAACAAAGCACATATGCAGGTGAAATCTTCATTATCTAGGCCTACGATGACAAAGTGTAGTACTTTCTGTATCTGAATTATTTCTGTCTGCTTCAATGCTTAAAATACTTGCTAACTTTGAAATTCTCTATTTCATTGACCTGCAATCTTTGCATGTGTGAATATTTTTGCATTATTGAATCACACTGCTTTATCCATTGTCTATCTGACCAAAGATCAGTTATTTTTTAACTTCTTTATTCTTGAGTTGTGGTTGCCATTCTGTTTCTATTTCTTATAATAGTGTATCATTTTGTCATACCATGTCAATGCTGTTATACTGTAACGTGATATTACTCAAGAAGCGTGCCATATGTAGTGTGGTGTGGTCCAACGTTTCTCTTGGACCTTGCATTAATTTCTTCACAAGTATTTTAAAAAAAGGTCTACAAGGCTGCATACAAGGAACGGATGCCAAACCTTATACCGCTTAAGCCGCATAAGTGGTCGATTACACTGCATAAGCATCTGATTATGCCGCATAAGCGCTACAAGGTGGGGTGACCACACATAAACTACATGCTATTTTGAACATTGCTTCGTATAAAGTTGTATTTTGTGTAAAAGAACAGAAGTGTCTCTGGTAAACTACATGTTATTGAGGAAATTGATATTTTGCGGCTCAAATCTTGTAATATTGTCATATTCATCATATGATCCTTTTTTCTTCTTGAAAAATGTTCCAGATTTATTTAAAGCATTTTGCGAGATATGAAAGTTGTTTCTGTATATTGTGTTTGAAAAGATTTTTGCTATAGCTGGTTTCCTTATTATATCGGCCCTCTCCTGTTTATTCTTACCCTGTAACAATTTGGATTTAGGAAACCTGGTTGTGTGGTTAGGCTGTGAAATTCATTGTATTTGAGAAAGATCTGCTAGAATTGTGATTGGTTGTTTTCCTGATGCTGGCTTCATAAATGCCTGGAAAAATCCATTCAAATGTTTCAGAAAAACACATCCCGAAATGAATGTTTTTCTGTTTTCATTAGCTGTAATTCCATCAAAGGTGCAAAGGTGCAAAGGTACATTATTTATTTTTCTGGAAGCATTGTGTCACACGAACACAATCCCCATATTTTCATAGCAGTCTCTTGATCTTCCATAAGTTTATGTTCCTTTCTGTTCTCCAAACCAAATTCATATAAACCCTGGGTCATTGTCTTGAACTCTTGGCCTGGACACTCCCCACTTAGGAGCTTAGCTCCTGTGGGTGCGCATCGCATCGGCAATGTTTTTTTTCTCTTTTTTTTTTTCGGGAGTGTTCATTTGTGAAGTGCTCTGCTGTACATACTTTCTCTTCTCTTTAGTAAAATGAAATGCATATGGCTCTTGCGTTTTTGAGAATTTTTTTTCTTGCTTTCTTCTGGAACTATCTAGAACTCGCATCATTGCTGGAAGTTTCTCTGTGAATTGACGTTTTGACATTGCTCATACCCTTTTTAGTGTATGGTAAAGATGTGAGTCTCTCAGGGCAGACAGAATTGGACCCTGTAGACGTCAGTAATCTACCACACCATTGCTTGAACTAACTTATTCTTTCTTTGTATATGATACTCTTCCAATGTTCTTATCAGCAGTTTTTCCTCTGTTGACAAGTAGTTATGACTTATGAGATCTGAGAAATCTTTTTTCTCCTGTTCTGGTTAGTTCCGTGTTATCCTCTAAGTCCAGCCATGTAATTTACCATCTCTTGTAATTTTCTTCCTCACTATCATGACACAGACACTTTTAACTACCTCATTTATGTACCTTTCCGAAACAACTCAGTAGATCTGACATTGATTCAGAATTTGTTTTCCATTGTCCGTTGCATCTGAATGTTACTTTGGTGACTTCCCTGTTTCTTTTCTTTAGCATTATTTCCTTTTCACACTTCCCTTAGTCAGAATTCAAGAAGGTTTTTGTATCTTCTGTTAGCTTTTGGTCACTCTTGCCAGCTTCTGAAATTTGATTCTAACCAGTCCTGATTCTGTTCCACTGCTAGTCTGCTATCTTGATTTGGATATGCATAATTTGTTGCTTGTATTGGATTAGTCTTGATTTTCGTCGAACAACCTTAGTTCCTGCAATTAATATAGTATATTGGATGTTATGGAATTTTCTACCTAGTCTTTTTGTATATGAGTCATCATTTTCAATCTCCTGACAATTACAATGATATAACAACATATATATGTTACTGCTCCCTTTTATTATATTGCTGTTGGAACATTTTTGTGAATCTTCTACGTATTGCATACCTGAATAATTCTTTTGAGGAAGAAATTGTGTTGCTTAATTTGGAAATGGCTTTCCAAACTTGTTTCTGTTTCAGTGAAACACAATAAACAAAGGCAAAAGTCCATTTTACACCCTCAAACCGGTAAGCTTGTCTACAATACACACCCGAATTACTACTAATACACTTGAATAGGGATGGCAATCGGGCGCGACGGGCACGGGTAATGTCTACCCATACCCGTGCCCGTGAGATTATTTTTGCCCGCGGACATACCCATTACTACATGACGGACAATAATTGCTGCCCATGCCCACCACCCGCGGACATCACATGCCCGCTTACCCGCCACAACTAGAACAGTGCAACAAAATTTCACAAGTTTAGCAAGTTCTCCACCTCGGTGTTGTGTCCTCTTACAACGATGGAGTAAGGGGAAGAGAAAAAAGGGAGATAAAAAAGAAACCGTAGAAAACAAAGAAGATGAGTTATATATCCTAGTGGATTTTACTCATGGCCCACATGTCAGTTAGATTTCACGGGTAAACGGGCAAAGCGGGCATGGGTAGTCATTTCCCATGCCCGTGCTCGTTTACCCATAGGGTACAGTTTTTGACCCAATAAGAAACCCATGGGTAAAAATGGAGAACATACCTAATCCTAATAGGATTTTTACCCACAGGTTAATGGGCAAGAACTATTAATATCGGACACTTAACACCCCCAGGCTGTTTTTATCGTGGTTTTTGATATGCCGGATGCCACGTCAGCCTTTGCCGCGTCAATGCATAGGATTATATGGGCCAAGCCCATATTGGCTCGATCTGTTTTGACCTAGCCTAGCATTCTCATGAGCAGGCTGCGATGGCAGGGTTGCGCGGAGGCTTGCTGGGAGCGGTGGCACTGGGAAGAAGCATCTCTGATAGGCTGCGCGCTGTCGCTGGTGGAAGCCTATGCGCGTCGCCGCACGTGCCCTTGGAGATGGCTGAGCAGAGAAGAAGCAACTCCACGTGGGGCGGAAGCAACGACGAGCTAGTGGAATGTTCAGCCGACGAAACAAGCAAATCGAGGGGCACGAGCACCTATGGAAATGGCAGCATATCCAGTCAAGGTAGAAGCGTGCCTGTTCGTCTGCCACTTCAGAGAACCATGAATAGGGGGAGAGAGAGAGCATGTGTGTGAGAGATAGAACCTCGACCCATACACACTTGAGCCAATACTGTGCGCTGATGTTGGCGTGTCAAAAACCACTGTAAAACCTGCCAGTTTGGGGAGGGGGGGTGTTGGTGGTGGTTAAGTGTCTGGTATCGACAGATCGAGGATGCAGTACGGTTTCATAGTTTAGGGGTGTATTTTAGACAACCGTAAGAGTTCAAGTGTGTAAAATGGACTTTTCCCATAAATAAATACTAGCACTGTTCAATGAGTTGAGTAGTACGAACCAATTCCGACCATTGTACTCTTTGGCTGAGTTCGGCCCGAGTTGAAAACTCATCCCACGCATACAAAACGGAATGAGTCATTAGTACATGATTAATTAAGTATTATTTTTTTAAAAAAGGATCAATACGACATTTTTAAAACAAATTGCTTATAGAATTATTTAAAAAAATTATAACGTTTAGCAGTTTCAAAAGTGTGCGTATGGAAAATGATAAAGAGGAGTTGGGAAATATGGCTGCCGAACAC